AGGGGACAATGGAATATTATGATCAAATGCCAAACTATTAACCTAGAATTATATACCCAACAAAATACCTTCCAAGAACAAGAGCAAAATAAAAACATTTTCAGAGAAATAAAAGTGAAAATTTACAACAATAACCTTCTCCACAGTAATTAGCGCATGATAAACTCCAGGAAGCAGAAAAAGAACCTTAGAAAGGTCTCTGAGATCCAAAGACCACTATTCGGGAAAGAATGATGGACAGAGAAAATGGGAAACTTCTGGTTAAATGAAAACAAACAAATATTGCATTTTTCAAACATGTTGGTTAAAAAAGCAAGACAGAATTAAAAGTCTGGAATAAAATGGCATACGAATTGGGAAGGAAGTGATTAATGTTAAAGCATTCTAAGATTCATAATTACTGATTAACTTTAGACCTTGTTGAGTTAAATATATGCTTTCAAACTTACCACTAAAGATTAGAAATACAGATAGTCTCAACTTATGATAGCTCAACTTATGATAGTTCAACTTATGATTTTTTCAATTCTATGATGGTGAGAAAGCAATATGCATTCAGTAGAAACCGTACTTCAAATTTGAATTTTGATCTTTTCCTGGGCTAGTGACATGCAATACAACACTCTCTCATGATGCTGGGCGGCAGCAGCAAGATGATTTTGCCCAAGTGTAAGCTAATGTAAGTGTTCTGAGCATGTTTAAGGTAGGCTCGGCTAAGCTATGAGCATATTTTTGAAATACAATATTTTCAACTTAACAATGATTGGGCCATAACTCCATTGTAAGTCGGGGAGCATCTGTAGATAATATAACTGCCAAATTAGTAGAGAGAGAAAAATGGAATGAGAAGGGAGGAAAAAAACTTCCATTAACTCAAAAAGCAGCATAAAAAAAGAAGGGAAAAACACATAGAAAAAGCATAATAAATAGAAAGCATAAAATAAGATGGTATAATCAAACCCTAAAGTATCAATAAGCACAATAAATACAAATGGACATAATTATCTAGTTAAAGTCAAAGGCTGCCTGTCTGGAATTTTTAAAAAATAACACAAAAACCAACAACATGCCATTTGGAGACAGAGCTAAAACATAAGGACACAGAGTAAAAGTGAAAGGATGGAAAAGGGTATCACGAAAATACTAACCAAAACTGAACATGTTCTAGGCTTAAAGTGTTGATTCAAAGAAAAGGTGTCACTCTGCAGCCAAAGGTGGATCTAATAAGAACAAAATATCCTGCAGTTTGAAGGCTTGTTGGGTAAGCAAAAGAAATATCAGTCTGACCTCCACACATCACGTGTGACGTTTTTCCAAAGATAATCTTGTTATCAGAACAGACCCGCAGGATATACACATCTCTACAAAAAGAGAAATACTAACCAATTCCCTCCTGCCAGCCCAGCAAAACACACATTTCCCTCTCCCACCCCAAACCAATACATGACTTTTATTGTATCTTTAAAATATCACAAATAAGTCTGAGGAATCACTTGACATCTTGGTGTTTCTGTAGCTGGACAACTTAGATCTTATTCACCACCCTGCTGAACTGTTCCTTTTTCAGAAACATAGATATCATCCAAAAATTTTCTGATATCTTTGTTTCTAACTGTTGTGGTTTGCTGAACCAAAGCAGCTGAATTTGATACAAGTTCAATATCATTTCCTTCAAGAATTAACTCATCTTTCTGGGCTTGAGACACTGAACAAACAACACCTGACCTCATCTGAACCCTGCCGATATATTTTTCACCCAAGAAATTTCAGATTTCAATGAGAACCATTCTCCTGATAACAACGTTGATGGGGAAGTGAGCACACACAGACCGCACCTTGTAATGGAAGCCCAATGTTAACACCCTTAACCATGTTCTGTACGTGACTACAGGTAGTGTGGACAAGAGCCGGTTCCTTTCTATTTCCCCACCATTTGTCAACCCGGAGCCTTTTTTTTTTTTTCTTTCCAAGGAGACTGAGTTCTACATTGATGTGATTGACGTCCCTCCACTGGGTGCTTCTGGGGCCCTTCATAATAACTGTGCGTCCCTTCAGAGTGATGTCCACATTTTCTGGAATGTCCACTGTCTGATTGTTGAGAAATGCTAACCAACTCCCTCCTGCCAACCCCAGCAAAACACACTTTTTTTTCACAGAAGTGCTGGGGTCTACACCAAGTCTGGAGGAATTAGAGCCAACACTCCACAGTATCTCTATCGGTCTGGCCCTATCCAAAAGTGACCTCCTCAGCAGCTATGGTACCAAGGCGTGCAGATGCCAGGAAAAAACAAGCCAAATAGTCCCTTGAGAGCTCCCAACTCCCTGCCTATGGTAATAGATTTATCCGCTATACAGCAAGGCCTCACTTAACATCAATAGGTTCTGCGACTTTAAGCAAAACGACGTATAACAAAACCAATTTTACCACAGGCTAATTGATAAAAACATGAGATAAGTCCTATGGCATCTCATCAACATTAAAACGAAATGACACTTAAAAAAAAAAAAAGGACGTTATTCGAGGGCCTGCTGTAACATAAAGACTTCGGTTAAAAATGTGTGTGGGCTTATGTACATACTCATGTTTTAGTACGTAAAACATACCCACATGTATATATTTTTCAAAATCTATTTTTATACCTGGAAAAATCTAGGCTACACAGCAAAATGTTAATAGTGGTTCTCCCTGGGGTGGTAAGTTTCTGGATGATTTTTATTTTTTTCTTTCTTTCTTTTACTGTATTTGCTAAAATTTCTAGAGTGAACAATGTATTGTTTTTATAATAAAATAGACACATAATTGCCTCCACCCCAAAAGGGAGGAGGGGATAAAAGGTCTAGATTCTATTTCAGCTCTGCCCAGCTCTGCGGGTCGGCTTTTCCGGCTTTTCGTTTCAGGTCAGCCTGGATGCTGCCTCAGGGCCGTCCCTCCTATGACATTCAAGGATCTTAACCACCCCCTCTGCTTATTAATTAGAGTCCTGGGGACCAACCCTCCCACCCCGACTGTGAACTCATAATCTGCCATTCCGGTTTCTCAGGCTAAATCCCAAGACCCTGATTACATCCTCAGCCCTGTGTGAACTATAATAAAAGTGAGGCTCCACAAAAGGCCCTGATTCTACTGGCCACACCACAGCTATGCCTCAAGGCCTGGCCCGACTGAGACCCACACAGGTCAAGCTCACTTTCCTCTCCAGCAAGGAAAGAATCACCCAACAGGCCTTGCTGCAGGAATTAAAGGCAGGAGGCATTCACACTCCTTATCAAGCTGGGTTTGGATTAACTTCCCAGGGTCAATGCCACAGCAGGATCTATAAGCAAACCTTGATAGGACACAGGGCAGCTGTGTCACCATGGAAACAGGATACCATAAGCCCCGCAGGTCATCCACAGTGTTTCAAAGCGATTTCACAACTTGGGACAAAAAAGGAAGCTGGAACCCAGAAAAGAAAAACTTGACAACCAATCTCTGGATGACTCTTAAAAGTGACCTTCTGAGTATATTGGTGGCAAAAGGGAAGAGAGGAAAAGCTATTTAGAACTGAATACACAGTGTGTTCCCAGGGGTTAGGTGTTTTATTAATTCCTAGGTTGTGTTATTTCTAGTCATTCTCTATTTTGCAGATAGAGAAACAAACTCAAAGAGTCTATATAGCTTGCCTAAAATCACAGAACTGGTGAGCAAAAGAGGCAGGCCAGGGTTTTATATCACATGGGCTGGGTTTGACCCCTGGGTCTGACTTGACTCAGTGAGCACCCTTGGGGGTTTCAAGGCCATAAACATGCATTCAGCCATTTGGCTGAAGTGGGGAAACTGCTACCAACCCCAACAAACTTCTCAAAAAGGTTAACTGGAAAATGCCTCAGGCAAAAGCATGAGGCTAGGGATGAGCAGATCCCCCAAAACAGGGAGGTGCAAGTGCATCCTAACTTTGCAGACGTAGGGTCTCCTTGCGCAGGCATTCATGCTGTCTCTGGCCAAGGATCCACAGAGCAGGTTCTTTAAATCCTGAAATCAGCACAGTGCCAAGGGGGCCAGGAGAGTCACAGTCCCCCCAAGTTTCACCACTTTCTAGCTGTCACCTGTCCTTTCTGAGCCTATTTCCACACCTGTAAATCAGAAAAGACAAGGACCGGGGGGGAGTGGCAGGTGCCTGGTGCACACATCATGGCTGCCCTACTGGCTCCTCTGGGGACCCCCTTTCTGCGCCCTCTTTTCCTCAGAGTCTTTGAGGGACCTGGAAGATCCCCACCAACGGAGGAAAGGAGAAGGCCTGCCAGCGTGTTCCCGTCTCACCTAGGCAGTGGGCACAACGCTCCCTGCCAGCAGCTCCAATAGGAATTAGACCTTTGACCACACAGGCTCTGGGCCTGCACCACCCACAGGAGGTGGGCTGGACCACAGCCAGAAGGAGCCCTTCCCACCAGCCGCACCTTCCTGCCTCCCTCCTCAGCTCAGGTGAGAGGGAAGAAGGCTTGCTGCCTCTGACGTGGCCTTCCAGCCACCTTTCACCTCACCTGCTCAGGGCACCCTCCACTCCGGTTCATTCATGGGCCCAGGCGCATAGACAAGTGATTGGAGCCTGTCTGGAACCCCAGGAGTCACCACGGCAGAGGGATACGGGCGGAGCTGGACTGAGGGTGCTGTGGGACCCAGGAAGGGAACCCAAAGGGGATCTCATCTTAAACCCGTCTGTTTAGCCTCAACCCCTACTTTTCAGGACCCAATGACAGACCTTCTCAAGGGGTAGGGAGTCAAGAGACCACCTAGGAACAGATTTGTCAATTGCTGACATTTTCTATTTTCATTTTTTTAAAACTTTCTTACGTCCCTCCCCCCATATGAACCCCTCCACTGCCATCTCCCGAGAAAGACTAAATAAGACGCGCGATCCCTAGGTATTTCGAGACCCCACTTCCACCGCCACTTCACAGATGCAGAAACTAAGGCCCAGGGACTCCGCGGGCAGGTCTCCTCCCGCCACCTGCGGACTCACAGCGGGTTCCAGCGCTCCGGCAGGCGGCGGTGCAGCGAGATGCGGTCGCTAAGGTAAATGTTGATCTGGTGCAGCCGCACGCTCTCCTCCTGCAGCCGCAGCTCCTCGCCCTCCAGCTGCAGTCGCACCGCCTCGCCCCCCGCGCCCAGAGCATCCTCGGGCACCGGAGGCCGCGGCAGGACCGGATCGCGCCGGCCGGAGCGCCTGGTACGCGAGATTTCAGACTCAGCCGCCGTGGCCCCGCGCTGCGCTCGCAGCACCGAGCCCAGCCCGACCATCGCCAGCAGCGCCAGCAGCGCCAGCAGCGCCTCCCGGCCGCGCCGCAGCCCCCGTGGGCAGCGCCGCCACACCGCGTACCCCCACATGCGCCCGCCAGCCGCTGCCAGCGTTAGGCGCGCCCGGAGGCTGCGGCGCAGCCCGGGACCCGGATCCCGGAACCGCAGCACCGCCCCGCCTCCAGCCCGCCCCACCTGCGCACCGCCCCCTTCCCACCCAGCCCGCGCGCCGGAGCGCGGCCCCCGCGTCGCCGAGGGTGGCTGTTCTTTACCCTGTCCCCACGTGGGCTTGCGGAGACTTGCGCCTTCCTGCTTGGGCTGTATGCATTATTAAAAAGATAAGGGCGTAAAACCTTTAGCTCAACACCTGGCATATCATAAGTGCTCAGTAAATGTTAGCGGTAGGGTGCTTCCAATTTTACTGCTCTTATCTCATATGACCCTTAGTCTAATAAGAGGGGTATAGGATTATCAACTCCATTTTACAGATGAGAAGACTGAGGCACAGCGAGGCTAATCGACACCAGGCTGTCCAAGGAAACCTGCAGGCCCAACCTAAGATACACTGTTGGGATCTCTTGAATAACGAACCCTCCTCTGGCTCTCTATTAGTGGATATTTGTGTTTCTGACCCTCATTTTCCAGATGCCTACAAGCTGATCAAAACAATGAACTATCCCCTCTGGAAAACACACAGCACACACAACCATAATATGATCCCACACACCCCAGGCCACCCATTGTTAGATATCCCCGGCTTTGGCTCCAGGTTTTCTTTTGGGGGATTGAGTGAATGAGGGAGCCACTGGGGTGCTGGAAATATTTAACCAGTCGAGACTAAAATGAGACATGAGGCTTTCTCCAAGGTGCAAAATTTGAGAGTGAGCCAAAAAACAAAACAAACAAACAAACAAAACACCAAAAACCCTCAGTAATTAAAATAAATATTTTTCAAAATCAAAATAAATGCAAAAATCCGCGGAAACAAAAATCAAAATTTTAGGCCTGCAGCACAGGGCAGGAGCAGACAGGACCGCGGGTGGGGGATGGGTATAATTAAAATAAAATTTTTTAAAAAATCAAAATTTTAAATAAAGGCAGAATCTGACCCTGTGCTTGCACAGCTCACCTCATTCACTTCACTCACCCTAATCCCAGTCCTGATTCTACAGCTTGATTTTGGCGGGGATCACATGGATATATACATATGTAAAAATTCAAGTTCTTTAAAACCTATGCAGTTATGGCAGCCGTGTGGCTCAGTTGGTTACAGTGCGAGCTCTGAGCAACAGGGTTGCTGGTTCGATTCCCACATTGGCCAGTGGGGTGCTCCACACCCCCACCCCCCACTCCCACCCCCATCATGCAACTAGATTAAAGACAACAACTTGAACTGAGCTGCCACTGAGCTGCTGATGGGCAGTGGATGGCTCAGTTGGTTAGAGCACGTGCTCTTAACAACAAGGCTGCAGGCTGGACTCTTCTCCTGCATTGGATGGTGGGCTGGGCCCCCTACAACTAGATTGAAAATGGCAACTGGACTTGGAGCTGAGCTGCACCCTCCACAACTAAGATTGAAGGACAACAATTTAGCTTGGAGCTGATGGGTCCTGGGAAAAACACATTGCTCCCCAATAAAGTTAAAAAACAAAAACAAAACAAAACAAAAAACCTATGCACTTGACTTATGAAAGTTATGTCTCAAAAAGGCAAAACATAAAAACTAAATGAAAAGACAGAATGAAGAAGTGAAAAAAAGGAGAACTGCCTCCAGGACAAGCACTGAAATCCTCAGCTTGACAGGAGAGGGAGGACCTCAAAATGTGACTCCAAATTCTGCAAAGCCTATCTCATGCCACTGGGGGAGAAGAGAGGTAGGGCTTCACCACTCCAGGTCTTTGCACTTGCTGTTCCCTCTGCTTGAAATGCCCTTCCCTACCTGGCAAGCCCCGACCCATCCTTCAAGGCCCTGCCAAAAGACACCTCCTCTGTGAAGACTTCAGCAACTCCACAGCTTTTAGGCAAATGTATTACAAGATTCCATCATCCTTCTGCGTATTAGTCAGGGTTTCTCCAGAGAAGCAGCAAGAGTAGGAGATATATTAAGTGATTTATTGCAAGGAATTGGCTTATGCTATTGTAGGGGGTGGTTAAGTGAGTCCAAAATCTGTCCGGCAGAAAGAACATCAGGAAGGGCAGGCTGAAACTCTAACATGAGCTGGAGCTGCAGTCCACAAACAGAATTTATTATATTCTAGGGCAAGCTCAGTTCAGCTCTACTGGTCTTTCAACTGATTAAATCAGGCTCACCTACATGATCTCCTTTACTTAAAGTCAACTGGTTGTAAATGTAATCATATTTATAAAATAGCTTCACATCTAGGTTAATATTTGATTGAACAACTGGGGATTAAACCTAGCAAGTTGACACATCAAATTGACCATGTCTATTAGTTTCCTAGGGCTGTCATAACAAACTACCACAAACTGGGGAGCTAAAAACAACAGAAATTTATTCCCTCACAGTTCTGGAGGCTAGAAGTCCAAAATGAATCAACCCTGTCAGCAAAGCCATGTTCTCTCTGGAGGCTCCAGAGAAGAATCTATTCCATACCTTTCTCTTAGTTTCGGGTGTTACTGGCAGTCTTTGACATTCCTTGGCTTGTAGATGCCTCACTCCAATCTCTACCTCCATCACCATATGGCATTCTTCTAAGTGTGTGTCTGTATCTGTGTCCCTTCTACTCTTCTTCTAAGGAAACCAGTCTTATTGGAATTTGGCCCACCTCATCTTAACTTGATTACGTCTGTAAGGACCCTATTTCCAAATAAGGTCACATTCATAAGTACCAAGGATTAGGACTTCAATATATCTTTTGGGGGTGGAGGGACACAATTCAACCCGTAACACCATCATACTTTGTTACAGCACTTGGTACACTGGTCTGTGTTTAACTCAACCATGGCCTTGTAACAAAAAGAATGTAAGGGACTTAAGAGTATGAGCTGTGGTCACTTTATGTTCTCGGAGCTTGGTACAGTGGCAGACACACAGTAAGTGCTCAATTCACTTTGTGTCTCATCCTCACTTTCATCGGCATCTGCTTGAACTCACTGAGGAGGTATCTGATGGAGGGCACAGCCTGGTTAACGGCAGAGAGAGGTTATTTCCAAAATATAACAAACACAAATTCTTCATGTTTCCTTGGTGGAAGGGCCTCAGTAGTAACCTAATCTGGGAGTTTTTAAAGTCTTCAGAAACTCCAGGAAACCCCCCTGGAAAGTATAAAGAAGGCTAAGCCCTGAAACCAGAGCATTGACACATTTATCTGCTTAATACCTTGAACTTCTTTATTAGATTGTAGCACCCTCCTCCCTAATTACCAGAGGAACGGGTAACAGGAACAAAGGAAGTATGTTGTCCAGACTGACAGCTGGTTAGTGATAGAACAGGAAATAGAATGGAATGAAAAGGTGTGTCAGAAACTGCTGGATGTCTGCCAATATCCATTCTTTTCTTCCTTTACAGAACTCTTGATTTTTTGTGTTTGTTTCTCTGGGCCCAAGATAAAGACTAGATTTCCCAGACTCCCTTGCATCTAAATGGCCTTATGACTAAGCGTGCTGCCAATGGGCTATAAGTGGTGGTGTCAGATGGGGCTTCTGAGTAATGTCCTTAAAGGAAACTTCCTTACCCTTCCTTCTTCCTGCTGGCTAGGTTTGGATATGAAGACTGGAGCTCAAGCAACCACCTTGGGTCATGAGGTAAAAGTTATTCACTGAGAAGCATTCATGGTGAAACACCATGGCAGAGGGAGCCCAGTTCCCTCGCTGAACCAATCCTGACAGCCTCCTTCCAGGCTGTGTTCATGGGAGAGAAAAATAAACTTCTACCTCATTTAAGCCACCGTTTCGATGGGTTTTCTGTCTTATGCAGCCAAATCTATTGGGTTGTCGGAAAAGTCATGACGTATTTTTTCTGTTTTTCGTTGCAAAAATGCATCATGACTTTTCCGACAACCCAATAATTCTCACTGGTCCCGAGGATTCATTGCAAGATAACTCCCCCCCAAATTTGGCTCTTATAGTGTGGTAGATTGAAAACAAGGCTGCAAATTCTTTGAAACTCCCTCCCCTTGAATCAAGGCAGACTTATAACTCCTTCAACCAATAGAATATGATAGAAGTGAAGCTCTGTGACTTCTCAGGCTAGATATTAAAGGCCATGAAGCTTCCACCTTGTTCATGGGGTCACCGTTCTTGGAGCCCTGAGCAGGGAAGAAATCTGACTATCCTGGTACTGTGATGCTGGAGACACCCAGTCAGGAGTGCCAGCAGAGCCCAGCCTTCAGCCACCCAATCCAGCCCAGGCATCAGACAGGTGAGTAAAGAAGCTAACTTGGAAGTGGCTCCTGCTTAGCCATTCAAGTCATCTCAGCTGTGGCCAAGACATCATGGGACATAGAAGAGAGGTGCCCTTTGCAAATCCCTGACCCACAGAATCCATGAACATCGTTACATGGTTGCTGTTTTACACCCTGAAGTTTTGGGATAGTTTATATTATAACTCAGCAATCGATAACTGAAACAAACGGGTGATTTTGATCAACATATTTCAACAGGAAATGTTTATTGAGCATCTACTATGTACCAGGCACCATGCTAGAGACTAGGCACACTATAACGAGCAAGTGTTAAAGATAAAGTTGGACACTAAAGTGATGAGGATAGATTTTAATCTGGAATATATGATCAGGAATTGCAATAGTAAACCAGTGTGAACTGATTTAACTTTGATTTGCACAGAGGTAACTGGGCATTTTAAGTAGTCAGGGAAGTGAAAAATTACAAAGGGTTAGTCAGTATAAATGCTGATTAGGTCAGCCATGTCTGTTAGCTGGCAATGATCAAAGTCAGGATTCTATCCTTCCATAGAGACTAGGAGGCCTAGTCCTTCCTGATGATTATATTTTAAGGGAATGGCTTTCAGGTCCTGGAGAAAGACACTCCTGAGTTGTAAGAGAAACATACATCTCAAAGGAACAGAGGAAGGATGCACAATTGTAAGCCCTTTTCAGTAAATGCTCTAAGAAAGGGAGGTCAGAGGAATATGGTTAGGTGTTAGCTAGAACAGTGAATTCTTTGGGTAGCCTGGAGCTTTCTAGGTAGGAACTTAAGGCGGGGGTAGGGGGCGCCTAGTGTCATCCTAGAGATACAGCCTTGAGCAGTTAGAAATTATGTTAGTGTTTAAGTCTTTTAAAGTGAGGGGGGTGGGTGGATAAGCTCATTTGTCTTAAGAGTCTATAGTTTTTATAGACCAAGGTTGAGGCCTAGTTGAGAAGGAGGGTCAGAGGAGCCTGGCTGGAGTTTGGTCAAGGGGAGAATCTTTGTCACAAGACAGATATATATATATTTTAAAAGATTTTATTGGGGAATTGGGGGAGGGGAACAGCACAGGGGAATCAGGGAAAGGGGAACAGACAAGTTGCTGTCCTTTTGTTCTTCAGTCTAGTTGTGGAGGACGTTGCTTCACCGGCCCAAGTTGGCACCATCATTGTGCTCTTCCCGGGCGAGGCAGATCAGTCGCCGGCTTCTGGAATGGCCCCTCACAGCGGCTGCTGGCCACTCACGCTAGCTGCTGGCTACACACGGTAGCCCATGGCAACCCACTGCCACAGGGGCTGCAGCCTCCGCCGTCGCTGGTGACTCACAGCAGCCCAGCTCCAGGTTGAGCTGTTGTTCAGCATCTTAGCTGTAGAGGGCAGTGTCACTGGCCCCCCTCATATGTGGGATCCGAACCGGGGCCCTCTGGCATCCCAAGCCAGTTCTTAACCATCGCGCCACTCGGCCAGCCCAAGACAGATATTTTTGACATCATGGTGCTTAGAGAATAATGGGATATGCAGATATTAAAAATATAACTTATTAGAGTTGTGGTTAAGTGTTTTGAAGAGTTACAGGGTGCTAAAAGGGTTTATAATACTAGAGCCTGGTCCAGTGAGGGATAGAGGAAGGCTTCTCTGAGGAAGTAATGTTTACACAGATGCCTGAATGTTAAAGTGTATCAGAGATTTGAAATCATACTTTAGGTTAACCTGGAATTTCCTCTGTTGGTGCCCAGTGAAGGGAAGAGAATGGTTTTATATCTCCTGTAGAAGGATAGAGTGTGTTAGCTGGGTTTTTTTGTTTTGTTTTTTAACACCCTGGGAAGCTAGCCCAAAGATTTTTATCAAATAGTCTCTATTCTGAAGGGGGACCACAGCCAAAAAAAGTTAAGAAGCATACATTTGGTCACATTTTTTCATTTTACAGATGGGGAGCCTTAGTCACAGGGAAGCTTGTATCAAACAAGCTGGTGGTTCAGGCAGAGTTAGGATCTAACCTGCCATCCTCTTCAACTCACAGCCTCTGGTTACTGCCCCCACCCCACCCCAGATGAAAGGGGCCTTCCGTGAGCATCTCCCCCAGGCTCCAGGACAGGAATGGGGTTTGGGGTGAGCCATGCAAACCAGCTCCCACCTAGGACAACCTGCTGCTGCTACCCGACGAGTAGGAGGTGACTCCGCCCACAAAACAGAGTCTACTGGTGGGTGCCAAAAGGCAGGTATGATAGAAAAGGCCTGGAGCTGTGCCTTTTGGCCTCTGTCCAGACACTCAACACATTTAAGATCTGTGGTAAGATTAGAAAACAGACAAGGATTACAACTCATAGTGTCTTGGATCGGCTTACCAAATTGGAATGCTTCCCGACAGAGGCTTGGTTGCAGAGAAAAGAGCGATGGAATTAGGCCTTACAAGACATGGGCTCCAGTCCCAGGTAATAGATAAAAGCTGCCATTTATTGAGCACCGATATGTGCCATAAACTGCTAGACTTTATTTTTCACATACCTTTTCATTTCACCCTCGTAACAACCTTGCAAGGTAGACGGATGAGAAAACAGGCTCAGAGAGTGAAGTGACTTATCCAGGGTCACACAACATGAAAGCAGCAGAGCAAGGATTTGAGTCCAGGTTACCTGACTTTTGGTTCAGGACTTCCCACCACACAGCTCAGTGGCAGGCTGCTGTGACACCAAAAGAAGACAGCTTAGCTTAGTGGATGGGAGCACAGCCTTGGAGCCCACTTGCTTGAGCTCAAACCCCAGTCCCACCACAGATAGCTACGTGGCCTTAGGCAAGTTACTTAACCTCCCTCAACTCATTTTGCTCATCTGTGAAATAGTGGTGATAATAAGAGTACATCCTGAGCAGGTTTTTGGGAGAATGGAGTAATATAGTCCACACAGACAGCCTCCATGAAGCAGGGTGGAAAGAATTTCTACAAGGGCAAAGGGAGGATGTCCAGCATCTTGTAGCTGGGAGTGTGGTCCTTAGACCAGCAGCACTGGTACCACCTGGGAGCTATCAGAACTGTAACAGCTTGTTAATAGAGATAAAGTGATAAGAATGGTCCCTGCCCAGAGTAAGCACTATATCAATGTTATTAATGATGACAAGTTGGCATCCACAAAGGGCAAATCCAGCTGGGACCTTAATTCTTTCTATACCTCTCCCCAAAATGAGTACGTTGTCCTTTCCTTGCGTTTGTTATTAGTTTGGTGATGGTGGTGGTTGGGGGGGGGGAGCTTATTTGTTCTTTGACCACATCATCTCATCTCATCTCATTGGCTGCTTGACCAACAAATAGATTTCTCTAAAAGGCACTTTTGATTTGTTGTATTAGCTCCCTTCATTACATCCCCTTTAGAATTTAATATGATATATGGTAGATGTGGTATTTCAAACATTAGTGGGGGAAAGATGGCTGATTCAATCAATGATTGGGACAACTTGATAGCCATTTGAAAAAAATAAAGTTAAATCTCAACCTCACACCTTACACCAAAATAAATTCCAAATGATCAAAAGATGTCAAAGTAAAAAAAAAAATCCAACTATGGAAGTACTAAATGGAAAAAACCCCAAAGATCATTATACAAAATATTTATAAATTTGATTACTACATAAATTTTTTTAATTTTGTAAGGCCCCAAATACTATATACTCAAAAGACAAAAGACAAACCAGAAAGAGATATTTGCAGATGACATTTATCCAGTATATAAATCAACAGGGAAATAAAAAGATCAAACAGAAATAAAAATGGCCAGAGGATTTAAATAGACAGCTCCTCCCCCCCCGCCCAACGAAGAGATATAAATGGTCTATAAACATATCAACATATTCCCTATTTAAAATGCATGCAAATTAAAGTTACTCTGAAATATTGTTTCACCTATCTGATTGGCAAAGATTAAAAAGGTTATTAATTTCAGTGTTGGCACGGCTGTGAATAAACAGACAACTCTCAGATATTGTTGGTAGGAATGCAAACCAACATAACCTTTTGGAGAGCAATTAGGCAACATTTAATAGAAATGTTAATATTCACATCCTTTTGATTCTGTAATCTCACATCTAGGAATTTATCCAACAGAAATAAGTTCACAAGTGCTCAAGAGAAGAGCGTACAGGAAGTGTAATGCAGTATTGTATATAAAAGCAAAAGTTGGAAACAACCCAGATGCCCATTAATAGGAAAATATAAAATAAAGTATTGCACATCTATACACTCATATACCACAGTGTCATTAACAAGAATGACACCAATTCTGGGTGTCATTACAAACGTGCTTAACATGCACTGGTAAGTTAAGAAAAGAAAGCTGTAGAGCTGTATGGATAGTGTGATCCTATTTGGTCAAGTATGCTAACCTATACTAAAGAAAAAGTCTACAGGAATAGTCACCAAACCATTAACTTTTTTTTTTTACATTTATTTCTGACAAGTGAGATTCTGTGGCTTGTTCATTTTCATTCAATTTATTCATTTTTTTCAACAAATATTTATTGGTCACCTACCACTTGACAGGCAGTGTGTTGGATTCTAGAGATACGGTAGTAAACACCCAAAGCCATTGATCTAAAGGAGCTAGAATTCTATATTTTCACAACACCGGAATTCTTTACAACAAACATTCTTATCTTTTTAGGAAAAATAATGTTAGACATTTGAAAGTAAATAAAGAGATTATTTTATTTCCTAACAAGCCCTCTTCTTTTTTTTTCTTTTTTAGTTTTACTAGCAAGCCCTCTTTACCCCGCTTTGAATCCACTGTGCCAGCCTCTGGTCCCCTGTCTCCCTGCTCTCTCCAGTGTTTCCCCTCTTTTCCTACAAACTACCCAGACCCCACCCAGTCTTTGGGCCCAGCTTGTGGCCAAGCTCTCTGATGAAGCTGTCAGTGATACCCCCTCCCCCCCAAACTGTGATACCTCCCTCTGAATTGGCAATGAACGCTCACAGACCACCCTATTCTGCACTCAATCATGTGTGATTCCCTAGGAGCCAGGGGCTGTGTCCCAATATCCAACACAGTTAATGCCTGGCACACAGAAGGTACTCAATAAATGTTGGTTGAATGGGGACCGTGTTGGCAATGGAGGTGCACTGCTCAGGTCACCCTTCAAGAGAACTTGCTGGGGTGCACAGATGACTGAGAGCCTCCAGCAGCTATGCCTTCGGATCCCCTCTGGAATTCTTGCTGAGGCGCTGCTTCCCTGGGCTTCTCCCTGTCAGTGACCAAGCATAGTGGGGATACCAGAACCCGTTGTTTCTGTTTGATGCAGGACACCTTAGTAGGCCACCTTTGCGTGGGGACTCCCCATTGACCTGGCTGCATGGCAGAACTGCATGGCAGCCTGACGCTCTTCCTACCCAAGCCTCCTCCCTTCCCACCCTCCTTTCCCAGTTGTCAGACCTGCATCATGGTCTGAAGCCTCTCCTTCCCTTTTCCTCTTCCTTCCCTCTTTATCCAACACAACCATTTCTCCCAGGGGAAAAACAAACCATCTTGGCATTTGATTCTCAGAGGACCCAAACCAACACAGGAATCAGTGAAAAATTACCGGAAGAGAACTCTTAACTAATAAGAATATAAATCCACTTACATAAGAGACTTATAGACAGAGATGTGTTGGATCCATGCTTCAGAAACTTTGTGCACATGAATCACCTGGGGATTGTGTTGAAATAAAGATTCTGATTCAGCAGGTATGGGACGGACCCAAGATGCTGTGTTTCTAAGAAGCTCCCAGGTGGTACCAACGCTGCTGGTCCAAGAACCATACTTTGAGCAGCAAGGTGCAGGAATTTTTATTTGCCCTGCTCCTTCTGCTCCCTGCTCTGAACCCTGGGAGGCCCACTGTGAGGACTCCATCAACAGGCCCCAAAGGAGCCTCTGACTAAAAGTTGGGTTTGGCCAGTGAGGAGCACAAGCAGGAGATCAGAAGGCAAGAGGAAGATGAGGTCAGAGGGTTTTATTTCTCTGGGGATCGCTCCCGTCTGGGTTGCTGTGGGTTGGTTGTGTTCCTCTACCAAAGGCCATGGCTCCCATCAGGTAGATCGCTCCCGTTTTCTCTCTTGCAGAATTCCAGTAACTGCTGTCTCGTACCCCTGGGGTGGTAATGGCTCCTTACTGTGTGTGGACCAGTCGTGGAGTTCTGCACCAACCCTTGTGAATCTTAGTAAACCTGGTCCACACTTCTGGAATTAGTCCTTTAGTAAACGTTCCTCATTTCCTCAGCCAAGAGTGCCACCTGTCTCCTGCTGGGACCCTGACTGCTACAAGCACTGTTCAATGCAGGATATTTTTATAACAGCAGAAAACTGGCAACAAACTAATTGTGCATCATTAAAAATGATTACATTTATGGTACATCTGCTTAATGGTGTTATATGCAACCATTAAAAAGAATGCAATAGATCTATATTCACTTACACGGAAAGATGCTTAAACCATTTAAGTGAAAAAAAAATCCCACAAGATTCAGAACAGCATAGATAATATGAACCCATTCATTTAAAAAGTAAAATATGCATTTCTTAACGCTTGCATTGCAAGTGACCTATGACAGCCCCGCTTAAAACATATCTAGCAACACAACACAAAAAAGCGGGCGTGGGAGGGCGGAATTCCTGACTCCATCTCTTCCTATCACTTGCCTCTGCTTTCCTGCACGGTGGCTTCACTCTCAGGCAGGCTGTCTTCAAGTCGTGGCAGAGTGAGCACCAGCTTGGCTTACAACATCCTGACATCCTGACAACTGACAACCTCCTCAGAGAGGGCCTCACTCCCAGTTGCTTTAACAAAAAATCCTGGCCCGAAGCCATTAGGATTGGCGAGGACATACACTAAGCACTGAACCACATGAACTGAGAGTTGGGGAAGGAGGTTCCCCAAAAGGACGAGGGTGACTCTTCCCAGGGAAGGGGAGGCAGGGCAGGTGTAAGCAACAGGTGTCCACACTGGAGGGAGTATTGGTAGTGGACATTTGTTATCCTTTTTGGCCGCCCAGCACCTGAAGCCTTCCTATCCTGGAGAGTCTCCTACTTTCTGGGGCACCTATACTGGAGCCTACCGCCCCCTACAGATGCCGAAAATGCCAGAAACACTTCCCCACTCTCCCTTTCTGCCAAGCAAAACACGACCCAGGCTATTCAGACACCCCATCTCAGGCTCTGACTCTGAAGCTGCTGACACCAAAAAGGGCCTGTGCAGACACCACCCTGGTATAGGGTGCAGCCATGGCATATTGGGACATTGTTCCTGGTTGGGGACCTCTGAGACTGGTTCTCTGATACTCATGGGATCTGTGAGCTATGAAGAAACCTTGGATTAAATCCCCATTTGGCTTAAATCCTTCAGGGGGTTCATTTCTGCTGCTTGCAGTCAAGAAGCTTGTTTAATGCCTATATGAATGTTTGCATTTTGGGAAAGATAAACTAAATGTGAATATTGGTTACCTATGGGGAGTAGGTCTGGAAGCGTGGGGGAGGAGGGAAAGGGGCTTTTTCTTTCTTTATGCCCTTTTGTACTGGTGGAATTTATTTTTTACATGCATATTACTTTTATAATGAAACAACTACTTAGTAAAAAATATAAGACACCTGAATAAATAGAATAAGACAAGGATTCAATTGCTCAGGGTTTTCACAGAAACAAAAGTCTTCATTAGACCTTCAAAAAGAAGTCATCTTCACTTCTATTGTGGTGAATGGGGCCAAATCTGGCAACGAGTGACAGTGGACCACCTCTGACACTGCCTAGGTGATTTCCTCTATCCCTGTAATTCACCTGCCCAAACGTTTTCCATGGCTCCCCACTACTCACAGAATAAATCCCACTGTCTTTATCCTGGCACTGAAGTGTTTTGCAATCCGAGCCCTGTGGACTTTCGAGACTTTTCCTTATTTTTACACTTTGCCTAGAAGACCTTTACTTCCAGCCCTACTGGCTCAGAGCTTAAGGGTATTACCATCTTCTTTGATCTGCCAACGCCATGACTCATTCTTTCCTTACACCTTCACCGAGTTCTGCTCTGTATTATAACTCTATATATGAGACTGAGTCATTTAACAGTCATGTATTGAGCACCTATTGAATGCCTGGTCTTTTGCTAGGCTTTGAAGTCACAGCTCACAATCTATGGAAACCAATTACCTCGTATCAGAATGTTAATGTTATCACGATGAGCAGGTGGCATCAGCAATTTTGCAGGCAGGGCTGCTCTTGTTAGAATCTTTCCCTCTGCCTGGATTGCACTCTCCCCAAGTATTAACATGACTCGATTTCTCAATTCCTTCAGGTTTCTGTGCAAATGGCACATTCTCAGTGACACCTTCTCTACCCACCCTATTATAAAATCACATCCCGTCCTCTGTCCAATCGGCATGGGTTATATTCTATTTACTGTTTAAATAGCACTCATCACCATCTCACATACACCTTACTTGCTTGTGTAGTGACAGCCTGTCTCTTTCCACTGTTAGGTCTAGGAAGGCGGGAAGTTTCTTTTGTTCCCTGAAGTTTTTCCAGTGCTTAGAACAGTACCTGGCACATAGTAGGTTCTCAATGAATATTTGTTGAGAATAGAAAACCAGACGTCAGAAGACGTGGGTTCTAGTTACAACTCTCCCGCAGGATAGCCGTGGGGCCTCTAGCAAGACACTCTTCAAGCCTCAGTCGCCTCCTCTGTAAATTGGGCATGATCATCTGGTGGCTGACAGGACGGCTATGAGGATCAAACAGGAGGTCTCAGGCTTAACTTGCATCAGATTCACCTGGAGGGCTTCTTAAAATACAGATGGCAGGACTCCACACTCAGTTTGTAATTCAGTAGGTGTGGGTGAAGTCAGAAAGTGCAATTGTAGCAATGTCCCCTATGGTAGCTGATTCTTGAACCATTGTTGAAGAGAGATATGGTACCACAAGGCGCTTGTTGCCCTAACGGCCCGGCCCAGCTAAGGTCTGGCACTAAGGGCCCCGCAGGACGTTGTGGGGGGACAGAGTCGACCCATCCCTTCCTTAATTCAGTCAACAACTATTTAGGAGGCGCCGCTGGCCAGGCCGCTGCGACGGTGGACCTCAGACCCGGGCCTAGAGGTCCGGCGCTCGCAGCATCAGGAAGGCTGGGCAGCCAGTCCGACCTCCGTACAGCAGAGGAAGTCTCCGGAGCCGCGGGAAGGGACGCAGGCCGGCGCGAAGAAGGCAAAGGTGGACCCGCGAGCCAGGGCCCCAGACGCTGCTCCGAGCTTCCCGGAACCTGCGGTCCCTTATCAACCCGCGACGCGGCGGTGGCGGCGCAACCTCGCCTCAAGCGCGCGCCCGGCACACAGTAGGCGCTCCGCCCCGCGCCCGGCGCGCGCCCGGCACATAGTAGGCACGCGAGCCGGCGGAAGGGGGCGCCAGCGCACGGTATCCGGGGGGCGGAGTCAGCGCCGCTGGCGGGGCAGACGGGCGCGGGCCGCGCGGGCCGTGATGGGTGAGGGCGGCCTGCCCCCGGCCTTCCAGCTGCTGTTGCGCGCCTGTGACCAGGGTGATACGGAGACGGCGCGGCGGTTGCTGGAGCCGGGGGCAGCGGAACCGGCGGAGCGCGGCGCGGAGCCCGAGACGGCCGCAGAGCCGGCGGGGGCCCAGGCGGCTGGGCCCGGGGCGGCAGCGGCGGCTGGAGCGCCCGTGCCTGTGGACTGTTCGGACGAGGCGGGCAACACGGCGCTGCAGTTCGCCGCGGCCGGGGGCCACGAGCCGCTGGTACGCTTCCTGCTACGCCGCGGAGCCTCAGTCAACAGCCGCAACCACTACGGCTGGAGCGCGCTCATGCAGGCTGCCAGGTGAGGGGTGGGGCGCCCGGGTGGTGTCCAGCGGTTCCCGGGGTCAGGCGGCCAGCCGGACCTGCCCGGCGTTCCCAGCGGACGCCCCGGAAGGTATAGAGTCTAGGTCTCCTTGGAGAGAGCGAGTTAGAATGGTAAACTTTGAGCAGCTTGGGACACGACGAGGAGTAGAAGAGCTTTTTAATAATGTAAAATCAGAATCTTGGAAACACTGGCCTTTCAAAACAATCTGGACACTGCGAGTAGAATCTTAAGTCTCAGAATCATAGAGGTGTTCATTCATTCCTTTTTTTGCTACAAGGGTTTCCTAAGAACCTGCCTACCCACCCTAGCTTGGTGGTCGGGATCCTGTGGGACCCAGTTAAAGTCCCCACTGGGAAGGCCAGTGGGAAGGCCAGACAAGGGAACACATTTGACGGGGAAAGTTCACGGAGCCTTGGAAGTAGTTTGACTTGGTGGAGGAAGGTTTCTGGTAGGGATGGTATAATACATATATTTTCAAGTGGAGACCTGAGCATGCCTAAGAATTAACCAGGACAGAAGTAGGAGGTGGGAACCAGGTGATAGGAGGCCCATGCAAAGGTTTGGAAGCAAAAATGAACATAAGGCATTGATAGGACTGTCAGAAAGATGTTATGTCTGGGAGGGGGCTGGGAGTCCTGGGAGATGAGCTCTCCCTGGAGAGGAGGAGGCAGATGCTAGGTGGCAGGGCTGAGAAAGGTGAGCTATCCTAAAGGCACTGGGGAGTAATGGAAAATTCTAGGCAGAGCGAATGACAGAATCAGATTGTTTGGGAAAGATCACTTTCACTGCAGTGTAAGGATGGACTGAAGGGGTGGGCTGGAGTTAGAAAGGCTGGTTAGGAAGGGATTGCAGCAGGCTAAGAAGAGGTTATGGTGGCTTGGACCAGAGCAGAGACAGCGGTGAGACAGCAAAGAGATTAGTTTGTGATGTACGGGCACACCTCAGAGATATTGTGGGTTTGGCTTCAGACTGCCGCAATAAAGCGAGTGTCGCAGTAAAGCAAGTCACAATCTTTTTGCCAGTGGAAGGTCTTGCTTTCAATTTGTAAAAAAAAAATAAAAATAAAAACAAAACCTGCAACACCCGTGAAGCGCAATAAAGTGAAGCGCAATAAAACGAGGTAGGTATGCCTGTACTCAGGCAGCAGGATGAAAGGACTTGAAACCCTGGCATAAAGAAACTGGTGCACAGTGAATTCTCTCAACCATCTACGTAGGTCCCACCCACCCCTCAGTTTCTTGCAGAAGTTCTCCAAGGAGGGACCTGCAGTCTTCTCCAAGGAGGGACCTGTTACCATACAGGTGTATTAGTGGCCTATGGCTGCTGTAACAACTTACTACAAAGCCATACAGGTTTGTTTGCTTCCCATTACAGGTGTATTAGTGGCCTATGACTGCTGTAACAACTTACTACAAAGCCAGTAGCAGTCACATCACTCTGACCTCTACTTCTGTCGTCACACCTTCTGACACTGCTGCCTCCCCTTTTCCACATTTAAAGGACCCTTGTGATTCCATTGGGCCCACCTGGATAATGTAGGATACTGTCTCTTATCTAAAGATCAGCTGATTAGCAGCCTTAACGATGAATAATTCTATCTGCAACCTTAATTTCCCCTTTGCCGTGAAACCTAGCATAGATTCTGAGGATTATGATATGGACATCTTTGGGACCCCATTGTTCTGCCCGCCACAGCACTTGGCACCAGTTTACCCTCCCATCCCATCCGCAGTGTGTGTGAGTGCTTGTTTTGCTACAGGCTTGCCAACAGTATGTTATCAAATTTTTGCATTTTTATGTCTGATGGTTGAAAAATCTTATCTCAGTGTAGCTGTGATTTGCGTTTGTTAAATTGTGAGTGAAGCAAAGCGTCTTTCCATATGTATGAGCCATTTGTTTTTGTAAAAGGCATTGAAAACACAACATTCTTACCCATAATGTTCTCATTGTGACCCAACAATATTTTATTTCTCAGAGCTCTTTTCCAAGTGTTACACAGTTCTAATCTAATTTAATTGTATTGCTGGAATTATTTTATTCTGCATTATTTTCAAACATATCGTTTTCCACTGCTCTGTGATACTCCATCTCTGGGACAGTACTGTGGTTTGCTTAACCATTCCCCAGCCCTTGGGCATTTATTTCAATCAGACTATAAACACACTTTGAAAACGCATCCCCATTAGGGAATGCATGCCTGTTCACATGGGCAGTGCAGTGTTTTATGCCCTTACCAGCGGGTTGGGACCCTTTGTCTTAAGACACCCGATTTCTTGCCCGGAGCAGTCTGGGGTGACCATAAAGCCTTTTGGGCTATCGACCTTTCTTCTGAGGTTCCGTCTCTTAGTGGCCCCATCTATTCTTCCAGGCTTTAGAATACCAGGTAAATCCTCGGCCCTTGCACCTGTCTGTGCCGTGACCAGGTCTGCCCATCTGTCTCTGCCGTACCCTCTCTTGAATCCGCATCCTCTCCCCTTCCTCTCTGCCTTAGTCCATACCACACCTTTGTAGTGTCCTTCCACTGTGCTGCCTTCCTCCAGGTGTGCCCTCTCTAATCCATTCTCTACAGAGCTTACAGATCTTTCTGAAATGAATGGCTGTGCCTCTCCTGTGAACTTGGGCCAAGATGATTTCATCTTGGCTTTCTCTGTGTCTCCCTGCATTGGTTTGATTTTTTGTTTTATTATTGAGCATTTACTGTGTGCCAAGAATATTATCTCCATTTTGCAAATGAGAATCAGATTATAAAATTTCCTCGTGAGCGTACAGCTAGTCAGCAGATTTGGGGAGTCTGACTTCAGAGCCCTCACCATAACCACACACAGGAATTCCCTTCTGCCCCAGTGGAGCCCTCCTCGCCCTCCCAGCTTAGCTGCTTCTGGGAAGCCTGCCATGATATTTCCCTATGTTTTAGTCTCTCAGCACTGGGAAGGCCTCTGCGGTAAGTACCTACTACTCCACATTATAGCTGGTCCCCTTCCTCAGTGACACTCAAACCTGGCTGCACATCGGAATCACTGGGACGCTTTTTCACATCAGATTCTTGAGTTCTTTTTTGGGATCATGATTCCTGAAGATCTGGGGGGAGGGAGGGAGGGAAGAAGGGAAAAGGGCTCTGCATGAGAAGAGGCTCTCCAGCGATTCTGGGAGCCACTGATATGTGTCTCATCTCTAACTCCCACCCAGTGCAGAGGGGCCCTTAGTGAGCCCCTGGGGGCCTTGCTGAGCGAGGTTTGTGACTGCAGCACCTGGCATGCTCTCAGGGTGTCTCAGAGACCCCTGATAGCCAATATTTGCTATTAGCCAAGTTCTGCAGGATGGTCAAAGTCATCTGATTAATTTCATCTAATTCATTTCTGTTCATCTTGATTGGGCAGGAGACTTGGAAGAATTAACCTAAACTCTGTTAACTAATAATTTAACATCTTTAGAGAACTTTCCTTCTTTACAACTCAGTACTGTTTGCTGAAATTTGTGGTCCAAGTGTGATGACGTGGCCACTTGCAAATCGAGAGGCTCTGGACTAATTACATCCCTCTTTATTCCTTCGTTTATCTTACAGGTGCTGTTTGGGGAGCATTAGCTATGACGTACTTTCTTATTTACTCCTATGAGAATATAGTAGAATATGACAGTCCTATGAGGATTAGAATTGACTCTCAACCTTTAGCTAAGCCTAGTCAGGGCCGGGGTGCTTTAAAATGTATTGTCCCTCAGGTGGCAATACCGACCGTCTGTATTTAGGCTTCACCTCTGTCTGTGTTGGATTGTGCTTGAGCTGCCTTCTGCCTAATCTTGTTGAATAATATGTACAGAGACTTCCTGAAGGATATACGGTCTGTCTGTCCCTTGGATCAGGATGGGCAGGTGCATAGCTGTGTGCCGACATGTTCCAGTCTGTGCCTTTTCTCCCTGAATCTAGATATTCCTCAGAGTGTCTCAAGACCTTGCTCCCAGCCGCCACCACTTGTGGTGGAAGAGAGCATCTATTTATCATCCCAGCTTGTCCAAGCTTGTCATTGGATCAGACCCTGATCCTCAGAGGCCCTGTGCCTGGACTGCAGTTTGGTCTCTTGGGGGATGTTTTAGTATCAGAAATGGTTATGTTCATGTTTTTTTCCTCTTCTTAAACCTTTATTGAGCACTTACTTTGTGCCAAGCACTGTGCTAAGTGCTTTAAATGATTTAACGCATTCAATCCACACAAAACCTTAGGCAGTAGATAGTGCTGCCATCCTCATTTTATAGATGAGGAATTGAGGCACAGAGAAGTTAAGTAACTTGCCCAAGGCCACACAGCTAGTAAGTGGCATGCCCAGGCAAATGGCTCCAGACCCTGTGCTCCTAGCCATGAATCCTGTAAATGACCATTTTCTGCTTGGTGTTGGCTACAAGGAAGCTACTTGCCAAATTTACTTTTACGAAGGGACAGGTTGCATGGTGTTTACTTTAGCTCTAACTTCATCCTTGGCCTCTTTGCTTTCCTCTTCCTGCCTTTCATTTCTCCGCCTGCCAGCGTGGCAGAGCTGGACTCTCCTCCCAGTGCTTTGAGTGGTGGGAGTGTATGCCAGGTCTTGAAACACAGGTGTTAATTGCAGAAATTGAATTGGCAATCATAGCAGCTGTTCAGAGAGCCCCAGCTTCCCTGTCTTCAGTAATTACCTATCAGAAACAGCATCCACAAAATTATCTCAGCCTTTGCTGAATCCTTTTATATTTTTAACCTCACCGAGTAACCTCTTGGGGTGCCCATGAGTTTGGAAAGCATTCTAAATGTCAGCATTTCTGCTGAAATTCAGCTTTTTCTTCCTCGGTGAAAATTTGTTATACCGGAAGAGTGGGGTTTGTTATCTTAGGGTCCAAGTTCAAGTTTTGACTCTGTCGCTTTCAAATTTATGGATTATTGCTTTCCATCCTAATCTAGATTTCCTCATCTGTGAAATGGGTGGTTTATCTCAGTTTATTGAGATCAAATGAGATAAAAATGTGACAATACCTTTTAATTTGCTGTTAGGAATTATACTAGATTTTATCTCATGCTTGATAACTAAATAGTGTAATCTTTTAAAATTCTCTATTCCAATGGAGAATATACCAGCTCTTCAGTCATTTCCATTGCTCGTCTCTAGACTGTCCTCTGCTTGGTTATGCCATTCAGTCATTCATTCACTCACTTATTCATTTGACAAAATGTACTGAGCTCCACTGTGGGTCAGCCACCCAGTCCTGTCTTTGGAGAGTCTAATAATTGGTGAGTATAGGTGAGCCTGACTGGAGGGTACTGTGTGGGAGTTGGGAGGAGATCAGGTGGACAAATTAGGCAGGCCTTTGGGCAGTGGGAAGTGGCCATCAGATTTAGGGGTTGGGAATATCATTTTTTGGGGACTATCATTGTGGAGGATGGGCAGGAAGGAACAAGACTGGAGGCAGGGAGACAGGTTGGGGTTGCAGCTTTCTGCTTTTGAGTTTATTTCAGCTTGATTTGCCCTCTCTCTGCTCTTGGAGAAGAGGCAGACAGGCCCAGTCCCCCTATAGCTGGAGGAGCCAGTTCACCAAGCTCTCCCCCCACGGGCTGAGCTCTGTAGGCTGAAGTGACCTGGTGCTGTTAAGGTTCATAGCCCAGAAGGTATTTGTTAAGTTCAAACCAGAGTTCAGCCTTGGCTCTGCCTCCACTGGGAGGAGGAAGGCCCTGGGTTTAGTTGAACTACAAACCCCACTTCTGTAAAGGAGGGGTTGGTGCAACAAGAGATTAAAAAGGCTGCCTCAGAATGCAGACGTTATGCAGCCATCATGGTCTTGTAAAGACTGGCACAACCAGCCGTCTTTTGTCATTCTTTCCTTGTTAGTCCAGGGCCCCTTCCAGCTCTGACACACACAACTCTGAGACCAGAAAAAGTATGCCAACCCAAAATGCTGCAAAACAGAACTTTTCAGCCCTCTGGTGGCAAAGGAAGGAAGAGATTTTGCTGGCAAGAGGCATCTGTTTTACTCTTCCTGATATTAGAGAGTTGGTGGGCAAGTTAGTCTCTCCAGTGTCCCAGCAGGACCATAGCTCAAGCTTCATTGAGGGGGGTCTGGCCAGGGCTCAATTCTCAGCCTCCGGCAGTGGACATTCCTGTCAGCAGGTGGCAGCAGCTCTCTGGCGAGATGAAAGCCCATCTCTGCTGACCACAGCCGTGCCACACCTCTTGGCATAGGGTCTGCTGCCTCATCTCCAAGAACCTTCTCTGTGTGTATGTTTGGGGCGGGAAAGAGTAGACATGAGTCAGACGTGGGTCCTGCCCATGTTGAAATTAGCGTAGGCAGAGAGACATTACCAGGCTGCAAAACAGAGTAAAGTGACCTTTCTGAGACGCGGGAGGCAGTGGTGTAGGGGAAAGAGGGACGGCAGCTGGACTCAGATCGACCTGGGTTCTGACCCTGACACAGCTCCTTACAAGCTGAGTAACCTTGGCATGTTGCATAATGTAAGATGATTACAGTGATGTGAGCTAACATTTATGTGGTGCTTCCTTTGGCCAAGCACGTTTCTAGGTGCTTTGTATATATTACATATTTAGGTATATCAGCTCAATCTTTAACATTCTCTCTAAGTAGATACAATTATGACCCCACTTTACAGATGAGCAAATGAAGGCACAAAGAAGCTAAAGTTCTTTCTCAAAGTCATGCAGCTAGTGAGTGGCAGAGCTGGATTCGAACCTAGGCAGGGCAGTTGCTCACCTTTGTGGTGGTGCCTATGCAAGGCCGGGTACCAGCCTATAATAACGAGGTACCTGTTATTATAGGCAGCTATATGACTTAAATAGTTAATGACATGAGGATTACATAAGTGTCTCCTTATCAGTGCTCTGTGTTTATGTTGCTAATTTTCCATCTTCCTGGCAGATTTGGGCATGTGAGCGTGGCACACCTGCTTTTGGATCACGGGGCTGATATCAATGCCCAGAACCGACTGGGGGCCAGCGTGCTCACTGTGGCCTCTCGGGGTGGCCACCTGGGCGTGGTGAAGCTGCTCCTGGAAGCTGGTGCCTTTGTGGACCATGACAAGCCCTCAGGCGAGCAGCCGGGGGCAGGGGACAGCAGGGACGAGCTGCTGGACATCACAGCCCTGATGGCTGCCATCCAACACGGGCATGAGGCTGTGGTGCGTCTGCTGCTAGAGTGGGGTGCGGACCCCAACTACGCAGCCCGGACCGTGGGCTGGAGCCCACTGATGCTGGCAGCGCTCATCGGAAGGCTTGGCGTGGCCCAGCAGCTGATGGAGAAGGGGGCCAACCCTGACCACCTCAGCGTGCTGGAGAAGACTGCCTTCGAGGTTGCGCTTGACCGCAAGCACAGGGACCTTGCAGATTACCTGGACCCACTGACCACCGTCAGGCCCAAGACAGGTCAGGCTGCCCCTCCCCACCCCCAGCCCCCACTATGGCTCCACAGAGGACCCCAAATTGTGTGTAAAAGACTCAAGCCATGGAGTGCCCAACTGAAGGGCATGCAGAAATCCGAGTCCAGCCTGCAGAGCAATGGGACTTACGATGTGCTGTGCGTAAGAATCAGTTGGGAGTACCTGTGACATGCGAGGTTCCTGGCCCCCTCCAAAGAGAGATTTGGTAGCTCTGGGAAGAGCCCGGTAACTGACATAGCAGGTGATCCTCCCTAACCAGGTGATTCTGAGGCAGGTGTTTCTGGGATTTTTCTAGAACAGCGTCGGCAAACTTCTTTTGTAAAGGGCCAGATAATAAATATGTTAGACTTTGTGTGCCATACAGTCTCTGTCATAACTGTTCATTTCTGCTAGAGTGAAAGCAGCCGTGTAAATGAGTGGGTGTGGCCACGTTCCAGTAGAACTATCATTATAAACATAGGCAGCAGGTCAGGTTTGGCCTGTGGACTGTAGTTTGCCATCCCTGCTCCAGAACAAGGTGCCTGACCTCATCTGTGATCAGCCCCCCAGACGAACTCACTTAAAATTCAGGCCATGTTTGAGGTTTTTTTTAACACCTGTTACTGTATTTCCCCAGGTATAAGACACACCCTTTTTTGAAAAATTTGGGGTCTAAAAACTGGGTGTGTCTTAATACAGTGGTTGTATGAGTGCAAAAACAAGTGCGAAAAAAGTGAGAAATGCAAGTAAAAAAATCTACCTGGATGGGCTGCCTGAACTCACCAAGCTTCCCTTTTATTGTCCATAAATGGAGGGTGAAGTAACACCCACCTCACAGGACTGCTGTGAGGATTAAGTGAGCTCACCCTGGCCCATAGGGAGTATGTGAGAGATGTTGGCAGCTGCTCTTACCCCTGTAACTGTTGTCATATTTGACAGGATCAGGCCATGGCCGTGAGTACAGACTTCCCCATCGAGCAGACCTGGGTTTGAGGCTAGTTCTCCACTTTGTGGCTGGGTGGCCGTGGGTATGTTCATTGTCCCTTCAGGACTTCAGTGTCCTCTGTCATAAAACAATTGTAATAAATGCACTTGTGAGGTTCTGTGAGCAATAGTAAGATCATGCCTATAAAACGTATACCCAGCACTTGGCACATCGATAGCACTGAGTAAAGTGAAGCTATTATAACAGGTTTTTATTGACCATTTGTTCATTCAGTTAGCCTACAAATATTTATTGAGTACCTACTAAGTACCAAGTACCGTTCTCTGCATCTGGGATAAGTCAGCGAGCAAATCAGATCCAATCTCTGCCCTTGAGGACCTTGGTAATACCCAGGAAATAACCTACTAAATAAAGCAGGTTACGTAGCACGATAGGTGGTAAGTGCCACAAGGTGGGGCGAGGTAGAGGGTTAGGAGTGGCAGGGTGCGGGGGATGCAGGCTGCAACATGACGTAGGAGGGTCAGGTGGCCTCCTTGAGGAAGTGAGATGTCAGCCGGGCAGAAGCTGAGGGAGTGTGCCCTGCGGGCTCTGGGTAAGAGCCTTCAGGTAGGACAGCAGTAAGGACCAAGGCTGTTATTAATAATGACAGGTTATTAAATAAATAATTAATGGCCCCAATGGCTCTTTTTGTGAGATGCCAGGAAATCCATCCCACCAGGGCCTTAGGGACTCCCAGGTTTCTCCCTTGAATTAGCTGTAGGACAGGTTACCCTGGAGGCTATACCTGTCATTGTGACACCCTCCTCTCACCCACAGTGGGGTTGGGGCTGGGTTCCCAGAGCTGCTCTGATATCAATGCAAAAACTGGAGCACAGAGAGAGGAAGGGACCAGCCCAGGGTCACTTGGCATCAGGGGCACAGCTACCCCAGCCTCCTGGGGTCAGGCTAGACTGTTAAGTGATTCATTTGTACCAGATAGTTGCTTAGCAACCAACTCTAAGGCCAGGTGACACACTCTTTTCTGTCAAAGGATCTTGGCATGAGAAGGTGCTGGCCCAGCGCAAATTAGACTCAGAAACACTTAAAGGAACATGACATATTTGTTAAAGCTAAGATGCAGAATTATTCTGTAATAGTATGTCACAGACAAAATCAGATGCTTGGTTCCATGTCTGTACTTTCTTTAGGAGCCCTGGAGTTAAGTACTTACCCTAGTTGGGGTGGGTGCTGGTCACTAACTATAGTAAAGATAATAAAAATTGCTCTTTGAATAGGGCCTAACCTTTTCTGAAGCATTTTCCCCTCTCTGTTATTGATCCCTGCAACTGCCATGTGGTCCCCTCGTTAGCATGCTACTCCCGTTTTAGCAATGAGGTGATAGATCCCTCTAGAAACATGCGCTCATTCTGACACGCTGACTCCAGACTCAGTGCCCCTTGCACCGTTGTTCAGCTTCTTCCCAGCTGCCCAGGGGGGCTGATCTGGACCAGAGATTCAGCCCACAACCACAGGTTTCCTCCTCCAGTTGCTCCATCCCCAGAGCTAATCAAAGGCTGCAGGAAGTCCTGTCTTCCACCACCAGCGAGGGGACTGGTCATGAGGATGCCTGCTTTTTGACAGGCGGAGGGCCCCCACTAGCTAAAGCTTAGAGGAAGGTGACGGATGAGCAGATGAGAGAGGGACTGGCATTGGGTGGTTGAAGCAGGGCCCAGCTTTGGAGGTAGACGTGAGGCGCCAGTGTCCTGCAGCAGCCCAGCAGCTGGGCTGCGGGCTCCAGCATGAAGTCAGGTGGGCAGTCGCTCACAGGGAGCTGTGTTTGCAGGTCTGGGGCAGGGGTGACTCTCAGAATCATATGCAGATTGCTTCTTATTTTAAGGGAAGGAAAACAAAAATTAACATTGGCGCCTCTGGTGACCACATCCATGACCTTCCTCTGGGCTTAGCTGCTCAGTGTCTCAGGGATCCTCTGCTCTGAAATTATCTCACGGTTGTCCATTTAGGAGAAAAGAATCGTGGTTTCTGTTTTAAATTTTCAGAGGAATTCAGATTTTTCTAAGACTGCTTTTCTATCATATCTGAGAAAGGACATCCCAAGGTTTGGAATGCGTAAAATCTTTAGGAGGATGGGATCAGGAAAATGTCCACTGCTCGTTAATGTCATTTTGGCCAAATGGCCGCCCCCCCCTCCAACCCCCCCACCCTGCCCCGATCTTATCTTTGAAGTATTTTCGGACATTCTTTGAAAATAACCTTTTTTTCTGGATTCGTCCATTACTTAGGTCTCCAATTAGATTGCCTTTGAAAAGTAGATAATTTTAAAAGCTAGGCCATGTTGTTACACCCTTGGGACTTTCCTGTGACATTAAACCTTTCGGTGCTTAACTTTTAACATCTTTGTTTACCCAGATGAGGAGAAAAGGCGACCTGATATTTTCCATGCACTGAAAATGGGTAAGTGCTTTAGAAAATCTTTTCAGATAGTTCAGAATTCAGTGCCACATTCTCCCAACCTAATATTTCTGGTCCTCTTCAAGGCCACCCAAAGTATTTGAGAAAGAAACAGGCATTTTATTGTTTCCTGACTCTAGTCTCCCCCAGGCTGACTAAGGTCCAAGTTCAGACCTTGGAGGCTGCTAGTTATGAGTATTATGGTGCTTTATACACAGATTCCAGCCGGCCCTCCCAGGCTCCTGCGCCTGTCCAGCCAAACCCTGTGGTTAGGTCCTGGCTTGCCCTGCCTCTGAAACACCTGGCTGCCCACCTACCCACTTTAGACTCTTTGTGATGAAGGACTGTTTAGCCTAAAATTTCCTCTTCTGATAGAGACCCCGTGCCCAGGAAGCCCTCCCTGATCCTCAAACCCCAGCCACAGCTGAGTTGTTCTGCGTGGTTGTTGCCTTCATCTGCCTCCTTCACCTGTCCCCTTAAGACATCAACACTTCTCTCTTTTAGTAAAGCTATTTGTGTGCTCGTCTCTGTCCCTCAAAGACTGAGGGATTTGAGAGTGGAGGCTACCTCTGACTCATCTTTGGAACCCTTATAATGCTCAGCAGCCCAGGGCAGAGGCTGGCTCAGCAAATGTTTGTTAAATCAACCCACTGGATATATGAGCCTGCAGTGCCAGGCCCATGGATCATTAGGGCTCCTGCTTCGGTTTGCAGGAAACTTCCAGCTGGTCAAAGAGATTGCCGACGAAGACCCCAACCACGTGAACCTGGTCAATGGGGACGGGGCCACCCCCCTGATGCTGGCGGCCGTCATGGGGCAGCTGCCCCTGGTGCAGCTGCTGGTGGAGAGGCATGCTGAAATTGACAAGCAGGACAGCGTGCACGGCTGGACAGCCCTCATGCAGGCCACTTACCATGGGTCAGTGCCAGCCCCACTCCCTTTGCGGCGAGGCTGATTGGATGCTCAGGCTGACATAGGGTTCTTGATGGGGCTTTCTGGCCCTGAGACCTACAGATCAACCCCGGGGCTCTGAAGACGCTGGGGCAGGCAAAGAAGTTGAAACAGCGCAGGCTCATTCTTTCCTGTGTTCCTGCCCTTCTCTGCCCAGTTTTTCTCTGACCTCATCACAGAACTTCACCAGGGGCCAGGGAAAACCAGGCGGCAAAAATGTTTTATGCAGAAAGATAAGTTTCTGTAGATTGATTTCAGTTGATTCGTTTGAGGTTGAGTGGTTGGCTCATTTGAGGTTTTCACATTGATGTGTGAGCAGCCCCCTTAAGTTGCCCCTAGTGGAAGTGAGCCTGAGCCATTCATACCACTGGCTTCTCAGAAACATCCGATGGTGACACTTGCTGGAACAAGCAGCAGCATGGACTGGTGCCTCTGAATCTCTTGTCTTCTGTCATCCCATCTCCCTCTGGTAGGCCTCCTCTTTGGGGGAGGCTGACTGGGAGGTGGGGATCTGCACACAGTCACACAGCTGCTTGGGTCTGATTCCAAATTAGGGGCTCCTTCCTTGCCCTGTGTCAGGTGACCAGAGCATTTTCCTGAGTCATCTCCAAGTGGTTTGTTTTCTTATTTGACGAGCCCCAGACTTCCACATCAAGCACCTTGGCCAGTGCGGGGGTCCTGATCTGGGTGTGGGGAGTGGGGCCTGCGTGTAGTCTTGGTGCCCTAGCGGTTTCGGGGCAGAGCCCTCTGTGTTCATTTTGTTCATGGAAGGAGCACTTAGGCTTTGACCTGCCTGAGGGTAGGGAATGCAGAGTGTGAGACGATTGGCAGCTTTCCACGCCATTCTTACATGCTCAGTGACTGGGCACTCACTCTAGTTAATATCGTGTCTTGTTGCCTAGGAGCAAAGCCATGCTTTTGCTTTCAGTGGGTCTAACTCTGACATTTTCTTTCCTCCCCAGGAATAAGGAAATTGTCAAGTATCTGCTAAACCAAGGGGCTGATGTCACTCTTCGTGCAAAAAACGGGTACACGGCCTTTGACCTAGTGATGCTGCTGAGTGATCCTGGTGGGTTGTTTCAGGAAAAGCGTTGTAAAGCTGCCTCGCCTTTCTCTGGCTGGGAAGCCAGATAATCGCCTGCATTTTAAACACTTGCTTATTCAAGGGGAAAGCCAATCTCAAGCTCCGAGAGCTCCCCATATGGCCCTAGGCAAGCCTCTGCCTTCCAAGCACAGGCTGGGTTGGGGTAGTCCCCAAGACCTCTCCCACCTCCAGCTGCCGGTAGCCTCCAAGAAGGGAAGGCCAGCGAGGCGTGTGCCTGTCCTGGCAGTCCACACAAATCCTAGAATGGTGTCTGTGCTTTGTAGCCAGAAACTCTGAGTGGCTCAGGAGTAAACAAAAAGGCCCTTTGCCAAGCAGAATCAGAGATGGAGCAGTGACCCCTCAGCTAAATTGTGTAGGTGGAGCCTGCCTGGTGAAGGGCACCATGATGAGGGTGTCTCCATTCCTAGCCCCACCTCTCTTGGTCCTGGGCTGGCATCGCTGCTCCCCCCAGCCCTTCCCTAAGCATGGCAGGCCCTTTTCTGGGAACGGGGGCTTCCAATGAGCCAGTTCAAGGGGCAGGGTCTCTCTATCTGTTTATAATCCTGGAGTTTCAGCCCAGATTGGGGGAGAGGCTGGGGAGCTCTCCTGACCCACAGGCTTTGAACCCTGAGCCAGATCTCAACTTACTGGCCATGGAGAGAGCCCCAAGTGGGTTTATTCCTGCTGCTGCTCTTAGCCATAGGGGTTGCAGGCCAGAGTGTCCTTCCTCATCACCAGCATTGTCACCCCCACCACCCCTCCCCGCTACAGGCCCCCCGTGTCACGGATATGCTGCTTGGCTCCATTTCATCCTTGCAGAGGGTCTGAGGGGAGCAGAGCCTCATGTCCTCTTTTCGAGGGAGGTGACCGAGGGAAGGTGACTGAGACCAGGGGAATGACTCGATCCAGCCAGAGAGTGAAAGCCCCCAGCCAGGTCCAGTGAGCTCACTCACACTCAGAATCAGCCTCCTACGACCCAGGCTGGATGGCGCATGCTTTTCTCGGACAAGCTCTTCTCTCTCACTATATTTTCTCTCCCTTGCTCCCTGCCCATTTCTCCACTCCCTTTCCCCATAAAACAATCTGTCCCTAGTGGATTATTTTTTCCTAGTGGGTTTTTTTAAGTGAAGTTTTTGCCTGAAATTTTCAAAGAAACACATGCTTATTATTGAACACTTGGAGAGGAAAAAAGAAATGGTTGTCAAGAGGAACCATTAACCATGTTAATAATTTGCAGTAGTTTCTTCTCAGTCTTGTTTGTTGCTTTTTAAAGTAACCTTGTTGAGTTAATAATAATTAATGACACTTAACCACTCTTAAGCATTTACCATATACCAGGAATTTCCTCAAATCCTCCAGACACCTTTATGTGGTGGGTACTAATGTCACCCCTTTTACAGAGGCACAGAGAAGTTCCCTAATTAACCTGTAATTACACAGCCAGAGAGGGTCAGAGGCGTAATGTGAACCTCTGCCCTCTGGCTGCAGAGCCTGTACTCTTTAAAATATACCACCCCTCTGCCTTCCTGGAGGAAGAGGGCTTCTGGTTTTTCTTTCTGATTATGTGGATTAAGCCCTGCTGGCCTTTTTGCCACCTTTTGAAGATCAGATGGAAAGGCTTAATCCCGGAGTAACACAGACTTGAGTTGAGTTCTAAGGCTGATGGAGGTCATCCTGGGCCCATTTCCTATAGCGCAACAGACATATTTGCAGGTAAAATGCTACCTTTTATGCCCATAGACACGGAACTTGTTCGACTGCTGGCATCTGTCTGCATGCAGGTGAATAAAGACAAAGGCCGGCCCAGCCACCCACCACCCCCACCCCACTCGAAGGTCCGACAGCCCTGGAGTGTCCCAGTGCTGCCCGATGACAAAGGCGGGCTTAAGGTTTGCCTTTTCCTATCTTAAAGGGCTTTGACAGAGATGGTGGGGTGGGGGGTTCTTACCACTTCCTGTTAACCCAGGGTTTACTTAGGCTGTGGGTAGAAGGCTGGCAGGGATGAGAAGCAAGATGGGGGTGAGCAGTAGGGAATGGTGGGGACCAGGGAAAATGGGTGATCCTAACCACTCTGCATCAGTGGCTGCTTTACAAGAATGTAGGTCTATGTTACTAGGTACTCCTTTTTTTTTCAGGAGAAACTAGAAAGTCAGATTTTGATGTGGAAACTCCATTTATAAATGTAGGGAATTTTTTTTAAATCTGCATGATACAGTACTGAGCTGGCCAAACCGAGCACCTCCCTTCCCAGGCCATGTGTCTGTGGCCTCTGCTTCAGTATGTAGAGCATTTGCCGATTACGCCATTCTGGGAATCTCCCTGCAGTCCACAGGCCCCCATCAGCTTCTTCCTGGAAACACCAAAACCAAGTTCCAGTTGCTTATTTCTAACTGCAAGCCTAGTATTTTTCTTTGAATTTCTCATCTCCCCATCCTGTTCTACTTGTTTGGAATCTAACTGATTTCCCCCACCCCCACCCCATCCTGTCTGAGTCCTAGTCCCTTCTCAGATCTGCAGACTTGGCATGCCTTTGGCGTTGGTGGCTAACTCAAGCCTCAGATTCTTCCTCCCAGTGCTGTTTGCATAGATCCCTTTGTCCCTGTTCTCGCTGCCATCGCTAGGCCGGGCCTCCCTTTGGGTTGTGCCAGTAACTTCCAAGCTGTCATGGGATTATGGGGACACCCTGGGAGGTAGCAACTGTCCCCGCTCTAGGTGGGGAGGCATCAGCTGCAGGAGCAGATGGCCAGGCCTGCGTATGGCCACCCTGACACCTCTCGCGTTGTCACTGGAATAGGTGGAAAGAGGTTATGCAGTGATAGAGGTTAAGGTGTTTGGTGTTGCCCATGTCCATCTCTCTGTCCCCGACTCACTGTGAGACTTTGAGCAAGGGTCACCCCTGTCTGGGTCTCCATTTCTCAATCTGTACAATGAGATTGGTTAGATGAGGGGTGGCAATTTGGGTTCACTGCCACCTCGCACCTATTCAAAATGGTTCCTAAGGGCAGGGTCAGAAAAGATTTAGAGAGAACCCGGGCTTATAGGGAAAGGGTGCTGTGGTCGATTGGTAATGCCTGCCATTGGCCCAGGAGAGGGGAGGGTAAGCAAGTGTAAAGTGTAGTCCCGGTCCCTGGGTGGGTTTGTTCCTGGGGCATGACCTCTGCTCTGCGTCCCTTTGGCAGTCCTGGTGGAACCGAATGTCCAATCGGTTCCGGAAGCTGAAGCTGATGCAGACCCTGCCCCGTGGGCTGTCCAGCAACCAGCCATTGCCTTTCTGTGATGAGCCGGAGCCAGCTCTGGACTCCACAATGAGGGCGCCCCCCCAGGACAAGACAAGCCGCTCTGGGCTCCCCGATGTGGCCCCCACAATGAAAGACACTGGTAAGAAAAAGCTGCAGATGTGGTAGCATTTCCAGAATGGTCAATCCCACATCCTCTGCCCGGTGTCCTTTCTCCCTCCTGGGCTGATGTCAGAGGTGAGATGACGCTGGACTGGAGTAGTGGCTGGGCTGGCAAAGAAGAGACTTAGGCAGGCACACCGATGCTAGGAGCATGGTAGAATGGGGGGGCTGGTGGCGAGAGTCCCAGGTTCCTGTCCCACATGCTCTGCTGAGAGACCTGAAGCCATAGATAGGCAATTCTCCCACCTATCAAATGTGATTGGTCTGTGGCACTGAAAGTGTTTTGAAATAGAACGAGTTACCTGGGGGGAAGAGGATCTGTGAGCTCCCCATTACTGGAGCTTTTCAATAGATTGGATGACTTTGCCAGGGTGCTGAAGGAGATTCCCATGCCGATTGGGAAATTGGTTAGCTCAGATCCCTTCTGACAGACTCCCCCCACCCAGACCAGCTCCATTGGCACCATGGCTTCAGACAGACTATTGAGCTGGGTGCATCACTGTCTGACCCAGCACGGCAGTGGTTTATGGAAAAGCTGAAAACACGCTCTGAGATACATTTTTAATGCTTTCCTTCTATTCAAATATTGAATACCAATTATTATTAAATATTTAATCACCCAGGAGAATTGGTTTACCAGGATGAAGGCCAACCTGGTCACTCATCCTCATGTCATGCACTCGTGCGGGGGTCATTTCATGAAACTTCCATTTGTCTCTCAGGTCCTGGGAGCACAAGAGGAGAAAAGGAAGATGTGTTATTGACAACCATGGTGAGTGTGGGGCTTTTCTAAAAGATTTCAGGTCTTCCCAATCATTAGTTGATTGGTTAACAAGGAGGGTTGTGGGCATTTGTCTTTCTTTGTGATGGAATTGCTATCAAAATGCATAACCATGGGTCCAGCTCTGGCACCAAGGAGTCAGAACAGGTGCCAGCCCTAAACCAGGTGACGCTGTGCTGGCGTTTAGTGGTCACATTCTCAGGGGAGGCAGCCCTGAGGACGGGCATTGAAGGGGTACAAGTTGATGGGCGATACTGGACTCATCATTTTGGTTCTGGAGAGCCAGGGGGAGAGGAGTCACAGAGGATTTTCCAGCCTGAGTGAGGCCTCAGTTTCCTCATCTATTTATAAGCTAGAGATGTATCAGGATTAGGGTCAGCTGTGAGTAATGGGAAGCCCCCAAATAACAGTAACATAAATAAGATAGCAGCTTATTTCTCTCAAGTAAGTGGCGTTCAGGACTGGTACATTGTTCCATGGAGTTAGGGACCTGTTGGTCTCCTAGGAATGGCTTCTATTACCAAGGTCACCTCTCAGTCCAAGATGGCTGCCAGAGCTCTGGGCATTACTGTCTCATTCCAGCCAGCAAGAAAGATAAGGGAAGAGATGGCCATGGGTACACGCCAGGCGTCTTTAAAGAATTTTCCTAACTCACCTATCACTTCTGTTTACATCAGATCAGCCAGAATTTAGTCACATGGCCACATCACACTGCTCAGGAGGCCCAACTAAATGTCAGGGATGTCTACTAAGAAGGATGTGTAAGATGGATACTGGGGGACAGCCGGCAGTCTCTGATTTAGGGATGCTGTCCCACATGGCTGTGTGTTTTAAATAAGAGCATCCACAGGAAGATCTTAGCATAGTGCCTGGCCCAGAATGAGCTTTCAGTTATCTGCTTTGGGACCTTGGACGTGTTGCCTCACCTCTGTGGGCTTCATGTTCCTTTTCTCTGAGATGAGAGCCTCTTTGTTGGGGTTAGACTCAAGTCCATTTAGCTCTGAGACCCTAATCTGGAGGCTGGCCAGGAGAGGGCAGTATTGGAGAGGAGAAGGAGCAGAGATGCCTGCAGAGAAGGGCCTAAGCTGCCTCAGGACCTGCAGAGCTGCCAGCGGTCCTGACCAGGACCTGCCAGCTCTCCCTGGCCCCACCACTCACATTGGTGTCTACACACTGACTGTGGGAGCTTGTACTGCCTGGCATTTGATAATACTATTAAATAGTAATAATTATTTTCCATGTGAAGGTGAAAATGCTGTTGTTGAAATTGTGGAAGATTCAGTAGAATATAAAAAAGAGAAATAAACTCACCTTGATCACACATATGATTGACATTTTGTGGTATATATCGTTTGAGTGGTTTTCCTACCATTTTTTAGCACCTATGAATATGATCTCATGTTATATTAATAATAATAGCAGGTACTTAACACAGCACGTGCTAAGTACCAGCCACTATTTGCAGCACTTTACATATATTCACTCATTTAGTCTCTCCTACAACCATGCAGAGTACACACTGTTATCTTCCCCATATTGTACAGCCTGATCACGACCATCTTTTCCACATCACTGAACGCTCTTTGGCCACATCATATCTAATGGCTTCGTGACACAACACTGCATCGTGGCAGTGTGCATGACTGACCAGTGGAGATTGGCCTGGGGGAGTTAGGGGTTTCTAGTTTTGTGTTGTTTTAACAGCCCTGATGAATACTCTTATGCCTCAGTTTCTCCCACTTGCTGGATTATTTCATTGGGATAAATATCTAGAAATGGAATTTCTCAGTCAAAGGGTATGAATGTCACAGCCTTCCAGAAAGTGTACAACAATTTAGACCCTCAACCCAAATGAATGATAATGCCCATCTGTGGTGGGTTTGCAGTTGCAAGCATCCTTAGTCATCTTCCAGTCCAATCTCCCGTTTCTGGATGAAATTGCTGAAGCCTTAGAGCACACAGCCCTTGTTCACGGGCTCTCAGAGAAGCTCAGGACAGCCAGGATGAGAACCCAGGATGCACCCCCTTCTGCCCTGGAGCACTTCCGACCTGCCTCCTCATGCCCTGTAGAGGGCAGCAGTGTGCCCACCTGCCCCTTGGGAGATGGAGGCTGGCCAGGGCTCCCTGCTGAGTGGGAGTTTGCAGCCATCCTTGCAGGAGTTGCCCTGCTTGGAGGCAGGTTCAGCTGTGGGATGCCCTTCCCTGCAAAGCACCATCTGGCACCAAGTTCAGTCTTTTCTTAATTAAAGTTAGTATGGCACTGTGTGAATGCTTTTCCCTGACAATCCACCAGTCCTGGTTGTGTGGATTTTATACTGACCCCAAATCACATTTTCAAAATTTAAAATTCATTTGCAGTTAAAAATGTCAGCAGTAGGAGGTGTGGCTGGAGAGTAGGATGGGTGTGGTGGGTTGGGGAAGGGAGGGGAGTGTTTGCTGGGCACTCAGAGCGCTAGCCTGGGCCTCCCAGTCCCCTTCCTCCTGAAAGCCCCAGCTCTGGTCACACCAGTGTCCTTGCAGTTCTGCACACTTGTCCTGCTCATCCCTTTCCAGGCTTTTCCACGTTCTGTTCCCTCCGTCTGCAGTGCCCTTTTCCCAGTCCTCACTGGGGCAGCTTGCATGGTCTTTCAGGCTCAGCTCAGGTGCTCCGTCTACCTGCAGCAAGGGGTGCCTCCCGTGTGCACCCCTGCTCCCCTTCCCCCATCACAGCACACCCATCATCACTTGGCTTTGTCTTGGCCCTCCATCCTTCTGTCCCTGTTCTAATCTTGCTGCTGCGGATGGATCCAGGAGAAGCTGGGAGCTGGAGCAGAGCAGACGTGGGTATTGCTCAGTCGCTGGGAGCAGAGCTGAGGACACCATGTGGGTTTCTGGCTTGGGTGGAGGGGTAGATGGTGCTTTTCCCTGAGAAGCAGGAATCTGGAATCTTTCTCCCAGATCCAGGAGCCCCCTGGGGCCTTTGCCTAACCCATAGCCTATCTTTTTCAGCTTCGAAATGGAGCCCCCTTCACCAGGCTTCCGAGCGACAAGCTGAAGGCAGTCATCCCCCCTTTCTTACCCCCTTCCAGCTTTGAGCTGTGGAGCTCGGACCGGTCCCGGACATGTCACAACGGAAAGGCAGACCCCATGAAGACTGTGCTGCCCCAGAGAGTCAGCAGGGGCCACCCTGTGGGCAGCGGTAACACAGACACTGTAAGTCACCCAGCTGACATGGTTTGACACGTCACTCACAACTCACTGAAATAGTGATGTGTTGCAGGCAAAAGGGCCCTCAGACCCACTGATGCAGAGGAGTTAAAGCTTTTTATTTTTATTTTTTAAAGGAGTGATACCTTTTGTCTAATGAAATCCTATGAAGGAACATAATATGTAAACAGATTACAATGTCAGAGTGAAAGGAATGAAAGTGGGAGTTTTCTGGAAGCCTGAAGCTGCAAGGAACACAGTTTGAAGACCCAGTCTAATCCGACCTTCCCTTTAGTAGGTGGGGACACTGGGACCCAGAGAAGGGAAGTGATTTGCTGAAGATCACCCAGCCAGGTGGGGTGTGCCTGGGACCAAAAATCAGATTCTTGGCTTTTAATCAAGTTCTACTCTACATTACTGCTTAGGTCCATGACCAAGAGCAAACACTAGGAGGCATGTAGCTATGAGCGCTACTGATGTTTTCTTACTCCCAGAAGGAGTGTGACCTCTATCCTCTGGACCACAGTGGCTTCTGACTCTGTGGCTTTAGGTGTCTGTGTAACATACGAAGGTTCTCTTCTTGAGGTGGGAGGTTATCTCCATATGTGTAGACTGTTTACATGCGGATACGGTAAATGCGCAAACCAAAGATGAGGATTTTTGGCCCTGACCTGCCATGACCTGCCATGGAGTGATTGGAGAAGTTCAGGGCCTCCATCTCTGCTGTAAAATGGGGCTGACACCTGAGCTTGCAGCTGCCTCCCGAGGCTGACGTAATATCAGATCTCTACAGGGAGACCAAGAACCTGGCCTCCTGCTCAGAACGGGCAGGGTGGGTTTGCATTTGGTCCACAACGTGCAAGGAGCTGAATGATGGTGAAAGCAGGGTGATCTGTGGGAAGTGATGTCACGAGGGCTCAGCCTGAGCTGAATGGTCAGATTGTCAGCAGCAAGAAGTAAACTCTGATCTCCTAGGGGACTGCTAGCAGGCTGAGCACCAGTCGGCAAGGACGTGCCAGGAGGCCTCAGCTGGGGTGGGCTGGCTGAGCTTCAGGTCTCTCCCCTGTGTGGCTCTGTGTGTCCAGAGGAAGGAACATCAAACCCTAACATGACATCCCCCTCTTCCTGCAGACCCCTGTCAGGCCAGTTAAATTTCCATCTCTCTCAAGAAGTGCGGCCTCTCCTACCAATTCTGGAAACTTCAACCACTCACCTCATTCCTCAAGTGGCTCCAGTGGGGTAGGGGGCATGAGCAGGCACGGTGCAGAGCTGCATAACCGCTCAGGTGGGTACCTGGGCAGGGCCCCTCAGGGGAGGTGGGCAGATCCCTGGGAGCCGAGGGTGTGACCACCCCCATGCTCGCTCTGCAGATAGCCCCCGAAACAGCTGCACACAATGCGTCTTCTCGATGTGGCCAAGGGATTTTTCAGTGAATTCACAGTTTGGAGTTTCTTTTATGCATTTTTCTTGAGGGAAGAGGGAGTGGAGACAGAGGAAATAAAATCTAAAATGCTCTATATTGTTGGAAAATTTTATAAGAAATTAAGAGAAATGTGTGGTGTTTTCATGGTGTTCAAAATCCTTGAAGGTTAAACCTTAGCTTCTCATCCTGCCTTTTCAATGAACAGATGAGGAAACTGAAGATCAGAGTGGGCAAGAGATTTGCCCAGGGACACAGAGCAAGATGATGACAATTAGGACTCAAGCCGGAGTTCCCCGGTTATTTTGAGCTTACAGCATACTTTCTTATCCTCCTGAGGGCATTAAGGCTTAACCAAAGCCAGCTTTGCAGGAAGGGCACCCCTGCTTTATGCCATTATATAAGAAACATATGCTCCTTGTAGAAAAGCTTTAAGATCAGATAAACCAAAAGAAGATAATAATAATAATAATAATAATAATAGTAATGGTACAGTCTCACCCACTAAAGATCATTAACATTTTGGGGTATATCTTTACAAAGTACTTTTATGCATATTATATTTATGAAAGTGGAATAATAATTTATTGAGCATTTAGTGTGTGTTAGACATGGTACCAAGCCCTTTAAATGGACTATCCCCCAACAACCTGCAAGGGTATCATCTCCATTTCACAGATGAGGGAACTGGGGCTCAGGAAAGTTGAATTCGGCCAAGGTCACTCAGCTGTGAATTAGCAGAGGCAGGACCTGAACCCAGGCAGGCTGACATCAGAGCAGAGCTCTGTAACTTTTTTCCCTTTGCACATATCACCATATTGTGAATACCTTTTTATGCCCATACATCTGTTTCTGCAGCATCTTTTTAATAACCAAACATAATATTTCATTCATATGAGATATTGTACTTTTATATAACCAATTCCCTCTTGTTGAACACTGGGGCTGTTCTAGGTTTTTGCTTCTGTAGATAACCACACTAAGTAATGCCTGCACACCTCTATATTTGCATACTCAGTCAGTTATTTGCTTAACTTAAGTTCCCCAAATCAGAGCAGTAGGGTCAATGGGTTTGCCTGTTTTCGAGGCTTTTGATACCTTTTGCTTTCCAGAAAGGTACCATTTATACATGTAAAATATTTACACCTAGTAAATGCTTTGCAAGTGTAGCTATCAGTGTTCTTTCTCTAGCACCTTCCCTAGCCCTGGGTATTATCACTTTCCTTTTTTCTTTCATAATAATTCAAGGTTGTTAGTAGATTTGGGGAGCCTTGGAGGAGGAACTTGGCAATCAGGGTTCGATCAGGGAAGCTGACATCTCTGAGAATTATGCAAGAGGAAGTCACTGCACAGCTGTAGGAGGAGTTGGGGATGTAAAGCTCAGAAAGAGGGAGTCCGAGGGGAAGGGAGGCGCCCTGGCAGGCAGGATGGCCAAAGGCGCCGCAGGGGATCTGCAGTGGGAATGGGGGCTGGGGGCAGGCATCTGCGCCTGATGGATGCTGGCCGAGCTGGAAGCGAGGAAGCGAGGACAAGCTAATCTTACCTACACTGCATCTTTCACCACCTCTTACCACGACACCTTCATCGCATGATGGCCACTGCGTCACAGCCGCCTTCCGGTTCTCATGCAGAGTCCTCTTGTGGTCAGCCCTGACCCAGAGCCACACGGGGAGGGGGTCTGGGAAACATGGTTCTGGCTCAGCCCAGTCGGCACATGAAGTCCACTGCACCCAGGTTATAGTATGCTGGACCTGTGGCGGTCATTCCTATCCCTGTTTCCCCAGGTGGCAGCATAGACAGTGTCCTGTCCCAGATCGCTGCCCAGCGGAAAAAAGCAGCCGGACTGTCTGAGCAGAAGTCCAGCCATTGGTCGAGTCCTGTTGGGCCAGCACCCGGGTCCAGTCCATCCGAGCTTCCGGTCTCCCCTGCAGGCGGTGGCAGTCTGGGTGGCAAGGTGCTTGTTCTGTTTCCGTCTCCTCCGGGTAACACTCATTGATTCTGTTCTAACTGGCCTCACGTGTTGGGGAACGTGGGTGGTGCCAGAGTTCTGGGACAGGAGTAAAGACAGGCCCCTTCCGGAGGCCACTCCTGGGCTTTCTGAGAAGGCCTGGGACGTGTGGGCAGTCACTGAGGTCACACCCTGTGCCCTTCGTCGCCTGCACACATGTTCACCTTCCACCTGATCTCCAGGGCACCAGCAGGTGCCTCATCCAGCCTCATGCTGCACATTTTTGTTCATTGATTAGAGCAAAAGGGTTCAGAGTATGGGTTCAGGACCACTGTCCGGGGGGTTCAAATCTCAGCCCCACACTTCAGCATCTAGGATGGGGCCTGGCCCCGGGAAAGCCTGGGCAAGTGTCAACTGTAAGCGTTGCCATTAGTAGCACCACTTTATTCGTTCGTTGTACACATCTTTGGAGCATCTGCTCTGGGCCTGGGACTGCTAGCACTGAGGATCCCGTGCTTAACTGAGAGTTCAGTGACCGCTCAGGGTGTCACTACGGACACAAGCAGTCTCCCCTCAGTGTGGTCGAGTCTGTCATGGAGAAGGGAGGATGCCCTGCCCGGCTTGAGGGTGTCAGTGGTATCTAAATGGGGACCTGAAGGATGAAGAGCCAGATGGAAGGGGCAGGGGTGAGGCAGGGTGAGGGGACGGCACGTGCAGCACTGCAGAGGCCAGAGTGCAGTAGAGGGGAGGAGCTGAAGGAAGGCTGACGGGCAGGAGAGAGCCGCAGCCTCGCCTCCCCACTCTGACACCATTCCTCCATTGATGCCGCCCTGGAGCTGTCACCACCTTGTTAGCAGCTCTGGAGTTCGCAATGGATGAGAACCCCTAAATGTCTCTCTGGAACGGGAAGTCTTTTCGTCTTCACAATGCCTACTGTACCTCCTGAGCCCTCCCACCTGGGTTGATTAATGAGGAAGCCCCAGAGTGTGGGTTCCTAATCGTGAGTGTGAACTGGCTCCTCCCCAGGTGGCTCTCCAGGTGGCTCCCCCAGTGGTGCAGTGAAGCCCATTTCCTCCTCTGAGAGGATCCCAAATCCAGCCACAACCCCACTCGTCACCATCTATTCTAGATCTCAAGCTTCTTTCCCGAGAAAAGTTAGGTCACTTGAAAGCCTCGCCCCTGGACCTTTGCCCAAAAGTGCCTCCAGAGATTGATGTCTTAATGGATGAATAAGAAATCATCTTTTTTTAAAAAACAGCCGTAAGAGTTGGTTACACAACTCTGTGTTATTCAAAGTTCCTTTTGCAGTTGGACCTACATAATTAGGTTCCTGTTATAACATAGCTCCAGAGAAAAGTTTCTCTCTCCCTATACATTAGCATACTTTCCGTTATATTGAAAATTACTCGTGTAATAGGATCTACGTATGTAATTAAGCTACTTTTAGAATCTGGCTGTAGGAAAAAGAATGTCTCTACTGATACTTTGATATATTTTCTTTCCTCAGATAGTAAGAATTATTGTATTATTATTATTCCTCTTTCTGCTTCTGCTGCTAGGAAACTCAGCTACTCATTACAGTAGTCTGGTTTTGATATAACTGTTGCCTAAAATTTTCTGTTTCTATTTTGATGATCTTATTAGATGTGTTAGATAGTATTAGCTTCCTTTAATTGGTGTTGGAAATAAGTAGGCATCTAAGTTAGAAATTATATTAACTATCATCTTTGTTGACTGCATCTATCGTATATAATCTATATACAAGTATAGTCTGATGAAAGGAAATTGTGTCAAAAGATGCATTCAGGAAACAATCTACTGGGGAAACTGGGGAAATGATGCAGGTCAATGATCACCTGATTTGCTTAATATAATAATATGCTGTCACCTTCAGGTTTCTGGGCTCCACCCAGCATAACTGAATGAGACTCTCAGGACAGGGTTTGGGAAATCTATTATCCTCCCCAGGGGGTGTTGCAGCCAGCCCAGCAAGGGCTCTTAGAAACCACTGCCCTAAATCAAAGGACATCAGGAATGGGCTTTCTGTCAGTGGCTCCAGCAGCAAAATGGAGACATGAAGTGCTTCTCAAAGACTCCCTTAGGAAGAATTAGAAATTAGTATTCAAAATATGAGCCTCCTGAATCTGGTTTTTGTACTTTGCTTAAAACAAGCACCACTGTGATAGTGGAATATTCACAAGGCATGGCTTCTCTCATGCTCGCAAATCAGCGAGCCTTAGGAGGCACAGAATGGGGAGAGTTGGAGTATTTATCTACAATTCCCAGATCTCTGAAAGCCCATAGTGGGTATATCAGCTTTCTGTTTCCACCCTAAAGCTCAGCGTTTTAAAACAAAAAGCATTCCTTTAGCTCATGAATCCGTGGGTCAGCAGTGTAGTCTGGACTTAACTGGGCAGTTCTTTTGGTCTGGGGCGATAACTTACATGTCTGGCTGTTGGCTGGGGAGACCAGGATAACTGGGCCATGTGTGTCCACAGCAAGCTGGGACATGTTCTTGTGGCAGTGGCTGAAGCCATGAGTTGAAAAGCAATCAAGTTGTTTAAGCAAATCAGCACACCGAGTACAGGAGAACACACAGAGTTACGTAGCAAAGGGTATAGATCCAGAGAGAGTGGAGGTGAGGCCATTCACACAATCGATCTGCTACACTGGGGACATAGGGAATAGTTCAGATATTTCAGAGCATCCCAAATAACCTTATATTGACCTGCCTCCTCCCCAGTAATACTGCCCACAGGTCCAGAGTATCGTGTTTCTTTGCCTTTGGCTGAGATATATCTGCTTTGTAGGAATGTACTAATTATCTCCTGCTTTATCAGAACCTTTATTATTGAATGACTTTTTTTATAAGAAAAAGAAGGGGGATGAATTTGTTAATAATATAGTTAGCTAATTGACAAAGTTTCAAAACCTGAGAGGTACTTCTTTTTCCATTCTGGGATGTAGTTAGTTAGAAGGGGCTTAGCAGGAAAGGTGTACCCATTTTCAGGCATAACAACTATTCATCTTAGTCTCTACTATCATACTCAAGATGTCCAATTTTTTAACAAAAATTGCAAGACATATGAAAAAGCAAGAAAATCTACACTCCCAAGAAACAAAACAACCATTAGAAGACTGTCCCTTAGCTATGACTCAGGTGTTGGAATTATCTAACAGGGAATTTAAAAGAGCTGCCATTAATATGTTAAAGGCTCTCGTGGAAAATTTGAACATGCAAGATCATATGAGTAACAATTTCAGCAGAGATCTGGAAACTATAAAAAAGAATCAAATGGAAATGCTAGAAATAAACACATAACAGAGATGAGGAAAGCCTTCGATGGGTTCCTCAGTAGACCTGATGCAGCCAAGAAAAGAATTAGTGCACTTGATAAAAAAAAGAGCTGGACACAAAGAAAAAAGAGAAGTTAAAGCAAAACTAGAACAAAAAACCCCAGAACACTCAAAAGTTGTGGAATAATACCAAATGTTGTCCCATATGAGTAATTGTAGTCCCTGGAGGAAAAGAGAGAAATGGTGGGACAGAAGGAATATTTTTAAACAATGGCTGAGAATGTCTCCAAATTAATAATAGATGCCAAACCACAGATCCAGGAAGTTCAGAAAACACTAAATAGGATAAATATAAAAATGAATATACCTAGCCATATCATATTTAAACTATTGAGTAAAGAACTCTTAAAACTCAACAATAAGAAAACAACCAACAAATTAAAAAATGGGCAAAATATCTGAATAGATACTTCCTCAAAGATAGACAAATGGCAAACATATGAAAAGATGTTGAACATCATTAGTTGTTAGGGAAATGCAAATTAAAACCACAATGAGATAGCGCTACACATTTATTAGACTGGCTAAAATTAAAAAAAAAATTTTTAGAGATACAAGTGCTGATGGGAATGTGGAAGTACTGGAACTCTTATTTAATGCTGGTGGGAATGTAGAATGGTACAGCCACCTTGGAAAAGTTGAACAGTTTCTTATAAAAGTAAACATATACTTACCTATGAGCTAGCTAGCTCAATCCTGGGTATTTACCCAAGTGAATTTTTAAAAACTTCTGTTCATGAAAACATCTGTTAGTGAATGCTTATAGCAGCTTTTCATAATCACCCTCAACTGGAAACATGTCATCAACACGTGATAAACTAACTGTGGTACATCCATGCAACGAAATACTACCCAACAGTGGAAAGGAACACACCATTGGTAACATACAATAACCTGAATGGATCTTAAAGGTATCATGTTGAGCCACACCCAAAAGTCTACATATGGTATGATTCCATTTATATGGCATTCTGGAAAAGACAAAAGTATAGGGATGGAAAATTGATCAGTTATTTCCATGGGTTGGGATGGGGAGAAAGGATTGACTAGACAGAGACAGCACTGGGAATTTGGGGGATGATGGAACTGTTCTGTATGGTACTCTGTTGGTGGGTACACAACTCTATGCATTTGTCACAACCTGTAGAATGGTACACAACAGAGGTATTTCGACTGTATGCAAATCTAAAAAAGAAACCCCAAAATCAGCCAGGAACCAAGATGGAATGCAAATCATGATAGCAGATCTAACTAGATTATGAATGACATAACCACACTAGGAGGTGGGGAAAAACTCATATGTCAAGTGGATACAGGAAGACTAAAGTAAAGACACAAAGTACCATATACAAGCACTGTACTCTTGGTGATAATTTTTTTTCTTACAGGGATATGGATTAAATTCTAAAACTACTTGACATATTGGGTTGTTGGGAAAGTCATGATGCATTTTTGCAGTGAAAAACATAGAAAAATATGTCATGATTTTCCCGACGACCCAATATATATACCTTTTGTGTACACATATGCTTTACATTTCTACTAAGGTTGAACAAATAAGTAAATATAATCTCAGTTTTCAACTGTCCAAGATTGAATCAAAGGGGAAATGTTAGAAAAATCCTGTGCATGTTAGATGGAAGTGAGTGGTATCAGTATTAATCTGAATGCATGCTCAGAAGTATATATTATACACACAGGTGTGATAAATAAGTGCTGTTCTGTGTATATATATATATGGGCTAGTATACTTCATATATTCCCTTGCTCTGTCCACTAAGAGGGCCTAGAAGCAGTGACAGCCCAGTAGCAATGAGACATCTACTGCCCAGGTTTTGTTTTCTAAGTACCAACCTCCAATAAAAGGAACAAGGGCCTTGGAGATGTGGTTTATTCCAGTAGTGGGTCAGTGAAAAATGCCTGAAGCATTTTGTGGTATCGGAAGTAAGGAAATGCTTTTAAAACAAAAGGGAAAAAAAAAGCCAGGGTGTCACAAGGACACAGGAGCCAACCTGAAAGCTTCCAGTGGCCAAAGCTGGAACAATTTGAGCAACTGTAAATAATGACAATAAAGTATTGGATTACAGCCCAAAGAATAAAATAAATATCCATGAGCCCATACTGATATCAATAAATAACTGAATAAATGAGGGAGAAGGAACAACTCTTTCTTATAGAAAAATTCCAAATAATAAATGTGGAAGGAATAAGGGAATTAGCAAATCATCAATTAGAACATCACAGGAGTAATTGCTCCAGACAAGATCCACCAAAAAAATGCTAAAATTAGCAGGTAAAACTTTAAGAAAAAACAATATTTAGCTCAAAATATCTCCCTACAAATATTTATTAATTAGCAAGGGAAAAATAGTAACTTCACAACAGAGAGACTGAACCACCTTAACTAGATAATGAAAGTTATTACGATCAGTAATAAGATGCTGGTACTTGGTGCCTCCTGGTACAATATGCTAAGAATGGCACATCACCTCTGTGGTCATCTGCCCAAAAATCCATAAACAACTATGATTATGAGAAAATATAAGAGAAACCCAAAAGGAGGGACAGTCTGCAAGTACCTGACCAGGATTCTTCAAAATTGTCAAGGTCATGAAAGATAAGGCAAAACTGAGGAGCTGGCACAGATTGGAAGAGGCTAAGGACACGTGACAAGTCAGTGCAACATGGGATCCTGGACCAGATCCTGGCTCAGAATAAGGCTGTTAGTGGCACAGCCAGTGAAATCTGAGCAGAGCCTGTAGTTTAGCTAATAGCCCCAATGTTCATTTCTTAGTTTCAGTCATTGTAAGATGCTAAAGGGGGAGCTGGATGAGGGGAACGCAGGAACTCTCTGGTCTGCCTTTGTAACTCTTCTGTGAGTCTAAAAGTATTTCCAAATAAAAAAGATTTTTTTAAGGCTACATCTCTCTCTCTCTCTCTCTCTCTCTCTCTCTCTCTCTCTCTCACACACACACACACACACACACACACACACACGTGGTGGTGGCGGGGGTAGAAATGATGTATTATTTGGTGAAAGGTAGAAAGCGACTGGACTAGATGAAGGAACAGCAAGACCAGAAAGGGGCTTCTTGTATATGATACATGGAAGCCACACTTCCATCTTAGAGCTGGGATAACTGGGAGGTAAGGGCTTTGGTCAGGGACACACTGCTCGTAGGTACAGAACCAGCCCCCAGTTCCCTGACTTCGGGTTGCTTTTTCCATCCCACCCCTGCCCCTCTCTGCTCCAGGGGAGGATTCTCTTACAGCTGTTCTGATAATGCTGTTTCTGCTTTGCATGTGTTTTTTTTTATACGTAGATTTCATAGTCCTGGTTAGATGTCTCCCTGAGTCCAACCTCACCAGTATTTCCTGTTGTGGGTGTCTGTTTTCATCATGTGTCTCCTCCAGGTGATAGCTATGTATTGGTCTTACTCTGTTCTGCAGAAACTGGAGACGAGCAAAAGGCCTCCATCTGGAACTTCCACTACCTCCAAAAGCACCTCCCCCACGCTCACGCCCTCCCCTTCACCCAAAGGCCACACGGCTGAGTCCTCCGTGTCCTCTTCCTCATCTCACCGGCAATCCAAAAGCAGCGGGGGCTCCAGCAGTGGCACCATTACCGATGAGGGTGAGTCCCCGGAAGTCCCCAAACCCCACCCTTTCCTCGTCGTCATGGTGACCTGGCAGGTGCCTTTAATTGCTGTAGCCATCATTTATTTGTTATAAACAAACAAACAAAAACAGCTTTCTCCCCCTCTTCCCTGATTCTACCTTGTATTTTTTTCTTCACTTGGTATGCTCAGTGGTACGCTCCCTTAAATGCTCTTTGAATGTAGGTGAGTTTTGTTAATATACACAAACATACACCCGTAGAAGTGTTTCTCTCACACCAGTTATGTAACATTCCCTAAACCTTGTACAAATCAGAATTCTTTCAGTTCCAAGTCACGGAATCTCTACTCAAACTGGTTTAAGCAGAAACAAACAAACAAAAACAACCTGATGATTTGCGGGCCCATAAAATAGAGGTGTCTAGGGGTGCTTCAGGCATGTCTGGATCCAGGTGCTTTGGGCGTGCTTCCCTCCATCTCTCAGGGAGGCTTTCTAAGTGGGGTCAATGATGTCCCCCAGACACTTCAGGCTTACTTTCTCTTCCTACTAACTTAGCAACCCCAGCAGAAAGAGTGCCACTTTCTTAGTAGGCTCAGCAAACTCCCAGGGGTAAAGGCCATTGGTGGCCTTGGATATATTTATAATGTCTTGGGTCATTAGCCCATCCCTGACTAGCTCTCTGTCTGTGGGGATGGAGTGTGCTGATTGGCCAGGCCCAGGTCAGGAGTCTGCCTTTGGAGCCGGGCTCAGGCTCTGCCCTTCGACACTGAGTGTGTTGGAAGAGGGAGAGAAGGGGTTCCTCAAAGGAAAATTGAAGTGCTGCTTCCAGAAAGAGGCGGAGGGTGGGTGCTGGGCAAGCAAAAGCAGATGTCCACTGCAGCCAGGAGAACTTCGGAGCCTGCATGCTTGAATCACAAGCCCCTCCTGTGGGGATGATGAAGAAAAGAAGATGGAGCGAGTCGACAGCAGGGCAGGAGCAGAGGCCCTGCAGTGGGGCCCCGAGAAAGAGAAGAATGCCATCCTGTGACACTGCCATCTGGGAGCTGGCTCCTGGGCGTGGGGAAGGGGGGAAGTGGGGCGTGGAGCTTCGGTGAGAGATGTGGCTCAGGCAGGTGCGCATCAAGGAGTATAAGTCAGGGGAGAAAGTTCATTGCGTGTATGGGTCTCACCAAGGCATTTGCGGACACCTCTCTGCAGCTGCTGGAAGGACATGCTAGGCAGATTCTGCCCAGCAAGTGATATGTGGAAATCAACTGCACGGGCTCTAGTCTGTCCTGAGTTGATAAATGCCACTGGCATCCTCTTTATTTGGGATCTGCTTTGTTGTTTTGTGATTTCTAGTGCAATCGTTTATAAAATCTTCAGAGAGTCACTAGCAGCCATTCCTTCCCTCACCGTGTTTTCTATGTCGAATCTTAAGTTCTCCACTCCGCTCATGAATTACCCCACCTCAGAGGCTTTCAGAAATCAAAACCCCTAAAGCGTCAGTTAGGTATTTGCACCCCACTCTTTTTCCTCACATTCATTCTTTTAAAAGGTCTGCAGAGCCCCAGGTGGGATGAAAAAAGAGGAGAACCTGACAAGGATTTCTTTTTAGATTAATTTCTTTTGCTTAGGCAGCCTAGTTTTCCCTCCTGGAATTTCTGAGCCCTGAGGCAGTGAGACCCTTGTCCCTTGGGCATTAGATTGTCACAGGACAGAGGCGACAATCCATCCTCATACAGCTCTTTATGAAGTTTTTGTGGGACATGTGTGGCCCCAATCAAGGGCTGCATGCAGGCCTCTGCCCTGCCCACCTTTCCACCTGTGTCCCTCTCTCTAGACTCCTCCTGCTGGAAGCAGAGAGGCCTGTGACGGAACCTTCTCAGCTCACATTCCTTCCGTGAAGGTTTCTGGGGCAGGCACAGGGTACCTGAACCTGTGCTGGGTGTTATGGTAACTCACAGTCAGCCCAGGGAATCAGTATACATTCAGCATAATCACATTGAAGGATTGTAACACCAGATAGAATCAAACTTGTGTGATCAGCAAAATACACACAGCCATGGCAGGCTCCACTGAGGAGCAGGCATTTGAGCCCACAGGCTGAGAAGAGATGGGGCAGTGGTGGGCCAGAGCTGATTGCTAAATTTATAGAAAATGTATGAGCTGGGGAGTAAACACAGCTAGTAAAAGTCAATTATAGGGCCGGCTGAGTGGCTCAGTTGGTTAAGAGCTCGCTTGGGAGCACCAGCTCTGAGCAGCAGGGCCGCGGTTCGGATCCCATATGAGGGCTAGTGACACTGCGCCCTCTACAGCTAAGATGGTGAACAGCAGCTCGACCTGGAGCTGGGCTACCCTGAGTTGCCGGCGACGGCATAGGCTGCAGTGGGTCTGCAGTGGGCTGCCATGAGCTACATGAGTGGCTGGCAGCCGGCGAGAGCTGCTGTGAGCCGCAGTGAGCAGCCGACCAATGACCAGTGACTGATTGCCTCACCTGGGAAGAGCACAATAATCATACCAACATGGGCCAGTGAAGCCACATCCTCCACAACTAGACTGAAGAACAAAACAGCAATTTGCCTACCTGTCTGTTCCCCTTCCTCGATTCCCCAACACTGTTCCCCTACCCCAATTCCCCAATAAAATCTTAAAAAAAAGTCAATTATAACAACAAAATATAGAAAAATAGAAGACAAAAAAGAAAAAACAAAAACCAAATTATTACTACATAAACTTATAATTTAATTATATTAAATATAAAGATATTTAGTATTTAAAACAAAATTATTTGCTGATTTTTAGTGCATTTTACTAATATCTGTGTTCTTGAGATTATTTACTTTGTTCTATCTATATGGTGGCAATATTGTATAATGATGTGTTACTCCTGTGTATCTCTTCCCAGTTCCATTTTCAGGAACATAACCTTGGTAGGTTGAAATCAGCCATGATAGGGGTATTTACACCATGGAAATCAGCAAACACCGGCAGTCAGGGCTTGATTTATTGTTTCATAGATCATCTAGATGTAATCTGGACAGTGATGGGCAAAATGTTGATTATGCAGGTTAAATGTAAAAGTGCCACGTCTGTAGCTGTTCTAGTGTGAATAGCACAAAAAATTTGAGAAAATATTCTTCCAGGATTTGAAAATCATGATCTGATTGAGCAGACTTGTTCACATGAAGTTCTAGTGTACGTCCTCGTCGTTTCATTTCATCTAACATGTTCATGTAAACGGAACTACACTCACTGGCTCCGGGTACAAGAGTAGGGTAAAAATCAATGAAAGAATTCAGTGAGATGCCTGAAATGCAGTGAAACCATTGGCTATGTGGAATTTATACTAAAGAGTATTGTATAATTTATTATTATATGTCAATTGTGTGTTACATACTCTATATCAGTAAAAGCTGCGGTAAACTTATGTACCTACACACATGCAGACATTTCCTCTCAAGAGCCAGGTTGTTAAACATTTACCAGCACATCACTGTGGAGGGAGATGGCATGGGGAGACAACGGCAGCAGCGAAGGTTTGGTGTCACAAAACTACAATGGATGATGTCTGGGTTGGGACTCGATTCATCTCATACATCCTGGCTCAGTAGCAGCTCTTCTGCAAAGTCTTCTCCAGCCCCCTGGGCTGGGTCAGCTGTCCTCTCTGACCCCAGATCCCTTTGGTCATGCCCTTCACCACAGAACTCATCACCAATGGGAGAAGTGGCAGAACGGGCTGAGTAACACAGGCCTGGTAGCCAGACCATGGGTTTGAATCCCTTTTGTGCTGTGGACTGGCAGTGTTCCCCACCCAAGATATGCTACCCAACGTTTCTGTGCTTCACTTTCTTGTCTGTAAATGAGGACAGTAATAGGGTCTACCTCATAGGTTTGTGAGGAGCAAATGGGTCAGCCATGTACAGGGCGCCTGACGGTGAGCAACATGCAGCAGCTGTTTATTATGACTTCCCAGCCACGCTGAGCTGCTTCGCTGCAGGAACCTTTTCATTCTTCCCTCCCAGCATGTGGTAGGCATCTTGGCAGCCACTGTTGCATGAGTGAATAAAAGGAACTCTGGCCTCCTACCCTCCAGTCCACTCTCCTGTGAACTGCACCCACTGCCTCAGGACCCTTGCACTTACTGTTCCCTCTGCCTGATGCTGCCTGGTGCTCTTTCCCTTGACACCTGCACATCTCACTTCTTCACTTAGTGATCAACTGTTACCTTATAAAAGCGATTTTCCCTGACGGCCCTCTGTAAAACAGCACCCTTTCACCCCCATCAGCCTCCCCCATGCCTCTGTGTTCTTCCTCACTGCTTTTGGCCTGTCAACCTGCTTTGGTCCCTGTTGAGTCCCCAGTGCCTCCTGCTTTTATACTTACTGAACGTGTGAATAAATACCCCTTCAAGGCCCCCAGATGCTGGTCTGGTTTCCTTTCTATACTCTCCCTGCTCTGATACCTGGATACCCAGAATCTTCTCTTTTCTCCTGGTCCCTGCCCCTCTGGCTCCGCTGCTCCACTAAGATGCGTCCTTCCTTCGGGAAGTCCACTGTCTCCGCACACGTGTGCCAAACCCTGACTCTGGTCTCAAGTCCACCGGCCAGTTCTCTTAAGTTCCTCTTCTAACTAGCTGAGGACTCGCTGGCATTAGCATTTACTGCAGATGCTGCAACCAGCAGTCCAGAAATCATAATTAAAGACTGTTCTGGATGGAAGGCGAAGTCTTAGTCCCAGCAGCTAGAACTCTGAGAACTTGGTGGTTGCAGCTGTTGGAGAGCCAGCCTGCCCATGGGCACCCTTGTCTTCTGTCTTCACAGCTCCGTTTGGGGCCTTGGTTGATGCCCAGGGCCTGCCCTGGGGGAAGAGTGTGGCTCACCGCCTAGACCTGCTTTCTGTGTTGGGCTTTCTTGTAGAATTGCATTTGAAAAGAGATTACCAATGCTTAATGAATGTTTGACGATCACTCTTTGGATCCATTTACCAAATTCTAAATTGTGTTTTTCCACATCTTCCCTCCACATCTTTCCCTCTTGAAGATGAGCTGACTGGAATCCTTAAGAAATTGTCACTTGAGAAATATCAGCCCATTTTTGAGGAGCAAGAGGTAAGGATGTTCTTTTTGAATGTCAGTCTAAATCTTCGTGTAAAAAAAAAATTGTCTAAATATGTAGCTTTTCCTCCTGCCGGCCTAGATTGATCTTTTTCAGTGAGACAGCTGAAGAAATAGAATTCGTGTTCAGCACATTTAGTTCCGTTCATTACAGTGAAATCCTGGGGACCTTATGGCTTGTTGTAATAGGATTTTGTCATTTTGAGCACTGCTCGCTCTCATAAAGTTTGTGTCTGTCCTGCACAAACTTGCCAAAGGGGATTGACTGGTCGGCTTTTAGGTTTAAAACGGGTCAAAAGCAAATCCTAATGAATCTGTGTTAAATGTCTGGATGTGGAGTCTGTGTTAATCTGAGAGCATCCCTATTTGCTTAAAACCACTGACAATCACATATTTAAAATATTACTGTTCTGCAGTTTGCCAGTTTTTCAAAGTGTTAAACATGGAGTTACTGTATGACCTAGCAGTTCCACTCTTAGGTAGGTATACACCCAAGAGAATTGAAAGCATATGTCCACACAAAAACTTGTACACAGAAAAGTTCATAGCAGCATTATTCATAATAGCTAAAATGTGTAAACAACTCAAATGTCCATTAATTGGTGACTGGATAAGTAAAATGTGTTCTCTCTATACAATGGAATATAATTTGGCCATAGAAAAGGAGTGAAGCGCTGATACGTGCTACAATGTGGATGAACCTTGAAAACATGATGCTCAGTGAAAGAAGGCAGACACAAAAGGCCACATATGGTGTGATTCCATTTATATGAAATGTCCAGAATAGGCAAATCTGTAGAGACAGAAAGTAGATTAGTGGTTGCCAGGGAATATGGGGAGGAGAGAATGGGAAGTGATTGCTAATGGGGATGAAAATGTTCTAAAATTGAGTGTGGTGATGATGGTTGCACAACTCTGTCCTGAAAATCATTGAATTGTATACTTTAAATGGATGAATTGTATGGTAGGTGAATTACATTTCAATAGGCTGTTTAAAAAATTCCCGTTTTGGCCAAATAAAATTCCTCTGCAGCCCACGAGCCACCAGGGTATAATCACTGGTGTTAGAACATTCTGTTGTCTGGTTTAGTACAGGACAACTGTCATGAATACAGTAGCAATCACGAGAATCACTCATTGTCCCCGACAAGCTTGAGATGCAATTGAGGAGTTTGTATTTTGATTCAAGAAACAGACTGGGGTGCCATGCCTCTCTTCCTCGGTTTGCTTTTCTGCCCTATCCTTCCTGCCTCCTTGGCGTTTTAAACTTGAGCAGTGATTTTTGTCATGATCAAGAAAATCTTTCCTGTTTGCTGGTGGCTGCCTGCTTTTGTGTTATTCATGTTCCATGCATGCCTCCTGAGGAGCTGGCAGTGGGGACTGGGTGTGGGGTGTCTGCCATGCATCGGGGATGGTAAGGAGAGGGGAGTGTCCTGTGGAGCCAGGGGACAGGGGTTTCAGCCAGAACTACGCCACTCTTTCATTCAGCCCCTCAGCACCTCGTGAGCTGTAAAGTCCCAGAGGAGCTGGGAGTCAGAGAGGTGGGATGCCTGCATCTTATACAAAGCTTGGGGCTGGATAAGGGAGCAGACTCTTCCCCACTGACTTAAACCTGGTTCAAGTTTTTTTGTTTGTTTGTTTTTATTCCAGGAAAGTAAAATGACTATTAAAAGAGAGAAGGAAGGATGATGCAGGGTTTATTTGGGGCACAGGCAGGGATGACAGAAATGTTAGGATTTTTTCCCATAGAAACCAAGGGCTGTGTGGCTTTGAGATGCCCTTATTCTGAGCCCTTTTCCGCCTCTTTCCTTATTGCTTCTGCTTGTTTATTTTTTCACTCTGTCTTTCCACAGTCTGCATCTCTCTTGTCTTCTGGGGGGAACTGTGGTGAGTACCGCCATATACCCACATTTTCTGTGCCGTAGCCAATATTGTTAAAAGTGCAGCAAAACTGGAATTCACTTTCTAACAGCAGGACTTAGATTGTTACTGCTCTAGCCACTCAGATTCCTGCCTGGGAGACTTGTTTCATATTCAGGGTCTTTCTGAGGTGCACCTGTCCTGAAAATCCCAGGGCTAGAGCTCAGGAGAGTTAGTTCTTAGTGATATTTTCAACTAAACTTGCAGCATAAAGCCAGGAAACAGAAATAGTAAGTCCTAATTAATTCACTACTAATAAGCTCATAATCATGGTATTTCTGTTGTGGTTGGGGAAAAAGAGGTGTGGCATCAAGCCGATGGCAGCGAATCCCCCGTCTTTCTTCCCAGGTGGATATGGAAGCGTTCCTCACACTTACCGATGGGGACTTGAAGGAGCTGGGTATTAAGACAGATGGGTCCAGGCAGCAGATTCTGGCAGCCATTTCTGAACTGAACGCAGGCAAGGTATTGTACTCAATCTTTTTTTTTTTCCTGTTTCAAACGGCTGAGAAACTCCCTAGGGTCTTAGGCCCTCGCTATGCCCAGGGACCTTTGGGGTCTAACTTCATGTCCTCTGGAATATCTAGCAGAGGCTAGCCCCGTTTGCACGCTTCTCATGGCACAGTCATTGCTCACCACCTCCCAGTGTGGCCTGCTCCTTTTCCAGATCTCTCTTCCTATAAGGTGGTTTCTCCTTAGATTCAGCTAAAATATTCCCTCTAGTAATTTCAACCCCCAGGGCTGGGTATTGCCCTCCAGAACTCAATGGAAGCCGAACCATTGGTTAAGACATGCCCAGGGGTCATGCCGACCTTCATTTGACTTGTAGCACCTCCACTTACTCGCTGCATTACCTTGGGCACATCATGCACCTACCTCTCCAAGCCTCACTTTCCTCATCTGTAGGGTGCGGGTAATAGCATTGTTACCAGGACTAAAATGCCTAGTAGAGCCCCTGGCACACAGAGACCTGTCAATCACTGTTGTTATTGTTGGCATCCTGCATTTTTGTCTAATGTTAAATTTCTGTTTCATCAGCTTTGAAACTAAAGAACTACTTGTCCCCTCCACCCCCATGTACCCAAAGGCACACATGTGCAAAAAAAAAAACCAAGCAAACAAAAAACATGAAGAGCAAATCACACTCACTTTGCAAACATTAGCTATTCAGTCTATCAGGCTATTCACACTTCTTTGCCTTCTCTGCTTTTTTTCCCTAATATGGGCTGGATTTTTCTGTCTCTCGTTCCAACAATGTATAATGTTTGCTTATTTGTTGCTTTTTCACACTTTGCCTAACAGCTCCCCACTTGTTGAGCAATAGTGCCTCGTCTGGGATTTTGCCATTGTAAATACTGCTATAGTGGGCATCGCTGCCTCTTTCCATTTTCTTCTCTGGTTTTGTTCTTCAGGCTTCATTCCACAATACAAGGTTATGTCAGAGAGCGTGACCGGTATTATGGTTCTTTCTGTATATTGCTAGGTATGCACAGAAATACTGAACAGACTTGTAGCGCTGACAGCAAATAAATATTTATGTAGCACTTTAGAATTCACATACATGTCCCCAGTTAATGGCCTCAGTTGATCCTTTGGCTCAGGAGGTCCAAGATCCTTCTTCCTCCTGGCCTCCAGAGGCCAAAAGTGTGAGCCAAGGAGAGGATGGAGGTGGGGAAAGCCACGCTTACACAGAAAAGGTTCTGGATGTAGAGCCAGTGAGGACCATGGAAGCATGGGAGGACGGAGGGGCTGGGTGTCTCTAGAGCCTGGCCTGGACTTGGTAGATGGTGACTACTAATGCTTCCAGAACCCTCCCTCTGCCCTCGGTGGTCATGGCCTCCTTGGCCCAGAATCTCAAAAGGAAGACAGACTGGGCTTGTTTGAAAATCTTAGGAAGCTTGGCTAGAATCATCAGAGTGGACGATGTGACATCTCGAGAAGCTGGGATCCAAAGGAGAACATTTTTCTTCAAGTTTGTACAGACCAGAACATTCTCTTCATTTTCTCTGAAATTCATCACCCTGCACTACTCTACGTATTTCTATAACAGTTCTGTATCCTATACTAAACGGGGCCCCATGTAGAGACTCAGAAGTGGCAGCTGTTCGTGATTGTCTTAGTCAGTTTGGGCTGCATAACAAAGTACCATAGACTGGGTGGCTTGTCAACAACAGAAATCTATTTCCCACAGTATGGAGGCTGGAAGTCCAAGATCAGGATGCCAGCATGGTGAGTTGCGGTGTGGGTCCTCTTCTGAGCTGCACACTGCTGACTTGTCACGTATCTTTACGTGAGAGAGAACAGAGAGAAGCAAGCTCTGTCCTGTCTTGTCTTATAGAGGCACTGATCCTGTCAGGGGAGCCCTACCCTCATGACATCGTCCAAGAACAATAATCACCACCCAAACACCATCATGTTGTGGGGTAGTGTTTTAACATATGAATTTGGGGGTGGGGGACATAAACATTCAGTCCATAATAGTGGCCTTCTTTGTGAAGACCCCAGCTGACCAGTCCCCAACCAAGAGACCCAGGCGCTTCTGACATGCCAGGCCACAGGAACTGCTTAATTTCATCCATGTCCTTCCCACAGGCAGCATCTACCTTGCAAAGTCAGGCGATTCCACGTGGAGATAGGTACAAGGGGAAGGAGCAGGTCTGAACTAATCACTGGAGAAAGAAAGGGCATGTTATTCGAGGGCAAACAGTCGCAGACAAAGTCCCGTGGGAGTGAGGACCAGGCACCATCGTGTGTTGTAGAGCCAAGGCACGATTGGGAGAAGATTAATATTACAAACACAAGTTCATGTGCGACTGCACTAACCCTAGGTTACGACTGCAACTGTGTGCTGGCTCCTAGAAAAAGCGAAGAGGTCTTCAGGCTGAGGGTGGCTTCCAGGAGCCCTTTGGATGCCCTGGGCCTCTGCTGCTCTGGGCTGGCCCTACCTAACCCCAACTCTAGGGGCTCCTGCCTTTTTCTTGCTGCAGGCCACGTGCTTCCCCTTCTGACATTCACCCCTTTTCTTCTGCAACCCAGTCTTGGCCAAGAGAGCACACCCATTGTGGCTCAAATGCCCTGTACACATTTGAGGACTCAGGCGGACATGTGAGAGAAGGGATGCTCACCTTTCCTTGCTCGCCGTGTCTTTCTGGCTCTGGTCCACAGCATGCTGGAGGGCTGTGAAATCAATTTAGTGGTTCACAAGCACCATTTTAAAACGGAGTAGAAAATATCAACATCCTTTGCAGATAGGTAGGGTCAAATTTGTTTCAGTTGTATATATTTCCGAGTAACAGCGTTACAAAATATATTTCTTACAGTCAAAAAAAAGTTTGAACAGTTTAGCCTAAATTAAAAAAAAAAGAATAGTAACTGAAAACCTGGCTTAGCCATTAAAAAAAAATCAGTAAAGGACGGTGGACCCTCAGCTTCCAAGCCATATAACTTTCGCGTAAACCCACTCTTGTATTCAAGTTGCGATGTGATATGTATGCAAGTCTGCTTATTACTTTGTTAGTGTCACACAGTTTTATATATGTTGGAGAAGCTTACCCAGAAATGATGACCTGAGTTTCACCTTATAGTTGGTGCTAAACCATTGATTCCTTCTGTTCCCAATTATTTGCGATTATCATAGTAGTGCATATTAAATTTGCACAGTACCACAAAGGCCAATTTTTAAAGAAATCACGACCCACCCACCCAGAGGCCAATGCTTCACATTTGGGAAGATCACTCTGCAGTGTTTTGACCAAATGTTTTTCTTTATGTGGCTGAGATATATTTGGAGCTATAACTTTACCTTCTACTTTCTTCATTTAAGATTAAATACGTGAAGTTACCCATGTCATTAACTCTTTTTAATGTAATAAATTTGCATGGTGGTACTAAAATTATTTTTTAAATCCCTACTTATTGGACATGTCGATACCCGAACTTTCGCTACGTAGTGTTGCAGTGGGCAGCTTTGTGTATGAGGCCTTCTAGTTACCTGCTCAGAATAGATGTCTAAAAGTGGAATTACAGAGTCAAAGAGTCTAATTCAGGGTATTTGTTCCCACTTCCTGAATTACTTTCCAGAAAGAGCCAGTGAACATCCCCAACAGGTGTGGGTGTGAGTTTAGATTTTTCTTTTCTTTTTTTATTAGATAGGCTGGGGTGGGGGGGTTGCCTTTTTAAATTTGCACTTCTTTAACTACTAGGTAGATCAAACACTTTTTTCTACTTTTAATGGCCATTTGCTTTTTCCCTTTTGAGAATTATGAGGCAGGTCCGTTGAAACTCGGGGGTTTTTCAAGGGCAATTATCATTCTCATCTTCAATCAGTTGTGGATGCAGGACCCATCATGGTTTTCATTATCCACCGCTCCCTCCTAAGGTTAGGAGGCGGAGAGTGCTGGAACCCTGTCTGGCCCCGACCTCATTTCTTAGGCAATTAAGGCTGAGGTGGTGTTTAATAATGACATCGCTGTCACCCCTCCTATTTATTTTTCACCCTCTGCAGTTTGCACATTGTCACCTCATTATCTCAGGTTGAGCCTCATCACAGCCCCAGCATGTGGCATTCTCCCCGTTTTACAGGCATGGACGCTGAGGAGCAGGGGTCTTGCCTGGGATGCCCCCGCTCGTGAGAGGTGGAATGGGGACTCAGGGTTCTGACTCCATACCCACGATTCTGTCCTCTGCCTCACAGCCTTCAGGTTTGTGTTGGTGGGATCCTGACAGCATTTTTCCAGCCTATTTAAATTGTCCTGGGAGGACTGGCCTGAAGGGAAACTCGCACTGCCCTCCCAGGGGTCTGCGAGGCCACATGAGCAACTAGAGGTCTGTCTGGGAGTCGAGAGGGACCCCTCAGGGTGTGAGTAGTTCAGGAGATGAAAGAAGAGCAAGTTTGAAGCCTAGACTCATTCAATGGACTTTTTTTCTTTTTCTTTTCAATCTTGGCAGAGAACAATCTGCCAGAGATTATTCATTTTTAATTTACTTTACATTTTGACCACATTTATTTATTGTTTATCCCACACTGCTGCCCTTTGAGGGCAGGTCCTGTAGCCTCCTGCTGCCCACACAGGGTCCAATGTCAGCAGCAGCCATTTGATGTACGATTATTATCCCCATTTTACAGATCAGGAAACCAAGGCCCAAAGCGACAAAGTGTCTTCCTCAGCTAGTCAATGGGATTTGAACCCGGGCTGTTTAACCCCAGTCTCTGTTCTTAACCTCACCGTATCCCTGCTAAAGTACTCAGTGAAGATGTTCTCGGGGCTTAGAAAACATCCACATCCCCTCTCTTTTCCTATCTCAGAATGTGTGTACAAGGGGCAAGGAGGGGTGATCTCGGGAGATGGGGTGAGAAACGAATCACTGTGAAGAGGAATCTGATTTCTTTTGGGCAAGGGGGCGTAAGGCTGTTCAAACTCTCACTCTGCAGCAGAAAGAAGTTTGGCTCCCACTGACTTCCCTGGAAATCCGAGGGCTGGAAAGACTCACAGAGCAAGGCAGGCAGGGGTGGAGGTCCCCCCCTTCCAGGCTCTGTGACCCAAGGCAAGTCGGTCCTGCTTCCTGGACTCTCCCGTCCAGCCTCGTCCAGGGAGCTGGATCCTTGTATCTCGGGGGCCTCTCCAGCCCTTGGCATGCTGTGGTTGTGGGTTCTGGGGGAGAGAGTCTGACTCAGAGTGTTTTTATTAAACTTGGTACTCTCTCAATTAGGTAATTTATTTTCCCCAAGACGCCCATGGGTTTTTCAAGTATGAGTTGAGCATTAACAACACTGTGTCAATTGAATTAATGGTTAAGAGATTTAACAAGACTTTCTGTGTCTGTTTTCAATTTCCTCCACAGGGACGGGAGAGACAAATTTTACAGGAAACCATTCACAACTTCCATTCTTCCTTTGAGAGCAGCGCCAGCAACACCAGGGCCCCTGGAAATAATCCCTGTACATGATCCTCCGTCCAGTGATCACCAGTGTGAGCTTTCTGAATCTCAGTCCTGCCTTCACCCAGCCACCTTCAGCTCTTCCCGGTTCCCTGAAACACACCATGCTTTGTCACACCGCTGTGCCTTGGTCACGTTGTTCCCTCTGCCTGGAACGCCCGTCTTCCCTACCCTGCTGTAGTGGTTGGTGGTGCTTGTTGATGTAACAAACTCCACCCCAGTAGAAACTTATTCTCTCATAAAGTCCGGTATGGCTTTCTGCTTGGCTGGTGGTGTCACACAGTGATTTGGGGACCCAGCTCCTGTCACCTGTGGCTCTGCCATTCCCAGGAGCCTCAGAGTCTTTGTTTCAGGCTGGCAGAAGGGGAAAGGGATGGTGAAGAAGGCACAGCCATTTCTTAATTGCCTTGCTCTTAGCTGCTCACATTCCATTGGCTCCTCCTGCTCACATTCCATTGGTCACCAGTAGTCACATGGTCCCCATTGGATGCAGAGGGCCCTGGGAAAGGTAGTCTTTGTTCAAGGAGGGGCGTCACAGCAACAACTCCATGCTTAAATGGGGAGTGCATGTTTTGGCAGACGATTAGCCGCCTCTGCCACATCTTCCCTTAAAACTTCTAACGTATCCTTCGCCGTCCAAGTCACCCATCCATGGAAGCCTCTCTTGACTCCCTTACACAGCACCAACCCCTCTAGCCACTGGGCTCCCTTACTGCTTTATATATAACTCTGCTCTAGCACTTCACTGCACCTACTGCATACACCATACAACAGGGATGTAGGATGTGTATGTTGAATGCATTTTTCTTTATTGCAAAGGCAGCCTTTTATGTAGGAAAAAAGAGGAGGCTCATTGTGTGATCTTGCAGGATCCCTTCTCCTTTCTGGCCTTCAGTTTCCTTATCTGTGATCAAGGCAAGCTGATGCTCTGACACTCCACACGACTCGCCCCAGATTGCTGTAGGGCTTTCTGCACGTCAGTGGGAGCCGAAGGCCCTAACATATTATCCTGTGGAAGGACTTCAGTGCTCGCATTTTCTAGGCAGAGACTTTGGAATTTCTTCTACACCCTATTAATGCTCTGTTCCTCAGAAGCGCACTGGCCCATCCATCCAGTTTCCTACCACATTATATTATTGTAGAAGGGCTCTGACTTTTAAATGTAGTAGCTTTCTGAAGTGTTTCTAAGCAAGTAATCAATTCATCCAAACCTTGCTGCATTTCTGTCATTTGCTGGGTGCTGGGGATTACAAAGACAAGCCAGAGCCCGTCCCCACCCTTGAGGACCTCAACAGGCAAGCGAAGACGTGAATGGGTGATCCCAACCTCGAGGGGCAGGATGGTGGTGTGGAAAGCGCTTGCACTCTAGACTAAGATTCAGAGTTCAGATCCAGCCCTGTGCTGGCCAAGGGTGCTTTACTTAGTTGGAGCTTAGAGCCAGTGTGCATAGAGCACATGGTCTGCGGATGAACCCTATAGATGGCAGCCTTTGCAGAATTCTCATCTTTACCATGAGCTCCGCCAGCCACGTGCTGGCCTTTTGAGAGGTGCGGTCTCTCATCTCTCCCTCCTACAGCCACGAACACCCATTCCTGCTCCGCTGGCTTTCGGAGGCGGCCGTTAGCGCATTGCCCGGAGCCTGATCGTGTTCTCCCTCTGCCTGTCCATCCAGTGGGTGCTGTTCCTTCTTCATCCTCCCATCCTCCCACCTGCTGACGCCAACTTTCCCCATGGGTCAGCCATCACTGACAGAAGTCTTTATAATTGTCCTCCTGTCCCAGCCTTCTTTAAGGAGACACGGTCATTGGGCACCAACAGTGTGCGGCAGCTTAACCTCAGTGTCATTGTCCTCACTGTCACCCTGGAGGCTGGCAGTTTAACCCCATCTGCACATTGGGGAAACAGACAGGAAGGAAGGGAGCTGCTGCCTGTTATACAGCCAGGAGCAGCGCTGGCTTAGGACTGACCTGGCGGGCTTCTGAGCCTGTGCTTTCCCTGCAGACTCCTTGAAGCACCAGGGATTCATGCTGATTTAATGCACTCACATCTTCAGGGATTATGGACAGGCCTAGAGCTGTTTTTGCCCATGAAATACATGGCCCCCGAGTTATGTGCCTTGAGGCTCTGTGCCAGCTTTTCGCTGTTGTCCTGTTCTTTTCGTAAGCCTGGTGTTTGTGCAGCTTCTACTCAGGTAAGTTTGAGTGAACACCCATGATACATGGGAGCTATGCTGGGTGTCAGCTTTCCACCAATGCAAACCTCCACGATCCCAGACAGAGCAGGGATGATGATGCCCATTTTGCAGATGGGAAAACCAAGGCTCGGAATGATGCTTCTCATCTTGCTCACTGGACTCAAGTGGTTCTGTGGCTTTTTCTCCCAGGCCGTTTGTGTGCTGGTTAGTGAGAGGGCCCTGGCACCCTTTCTGGGCCATGATCCCTTTCTGGCGACCCCTCTCACCCCCCTCGCGCCCCTTTCTCCAGGAGGCTGTTCCCCTCCTCCGTGTTCCCCTTGCCTGAAGACCCCCATCAGCATTTCCCCAACTGTCTTCCTTGGAAGACTAGTTCCACTGAATGTTAATAAGTTTTTAATAAAGAAAAAGAGGGGGTGTGTGTGAAATTGGGATAAGGCTCTGATCAAATAGGTTTGGCAGACGCTGGGTTATAACCCAGTTACGTGATTGTCTTTGCTGCAGGACATTCCAGAACCTGCAGCACAGCAGCGTGTGTGTCGGGCCTTGAGGGGGGTCCATGTGGCTTGTAGCATTTCCCATACATTTGATCACAGAATGCTTCGTGGTGCTCTTGGAAGATGGGTTCCTTGGACACTGGCAGGGAAACCCTGCTTTGACTGGGACAGTGGCAGCCATGCGGCCCTGGGCATGGGCCAAGGGAGTGCGCAAGGGCTTGGGTCAGGGGTCTTTGGCAATGGCTTCTCTCCCCGGCGGCTCTGTGCAGAGGTGGACTACTTGGCAGTAAGACGAGGTAGGAGGGTCCGGGCCAGGACCCTGCTCAGAGGACTCTACGTCCTGCAGGAGAGAGGGCACTGTTTCCAGCATTAATGCAGTGTCCTGCCTGGCATGTGCTTGGTAGCCAAGCCCTGCCCCCCAATGGCCAGGGAAAGGTTCTCACCTCCTTGCTTCAATGCCAGACAATTACATGGAGGCTAGCGAGCTGTGCTCAGAAAATGTTTAGTTTTTCATTCATTGAACATTTACAGAGCATTTACCCTGTGCCTGCCCTGGGCTGCTGATTTGGATCCAGAGGTGAAAACACTTGCCTCTGCCCTCAGGGGACCCACAGTACCTTGGAGTAGACAAGCACATAAATAAAATGTTGTAGTGCCACTTGAGGAGTCTTGTAACGGGTGTGCTAGGTCCATGGCTGGGAAGATGTCGGTGACGCCTCAGGCTCAGCCTGGACAGGAGAGGCCAGATCTGGCTCAAGCTGGTCTGAAAGGGTGCTGGGAAAGAGAAAGGGCACCCCAGATGGGGGGCTGTGTTTTCAAAGGCAGGCAGCATATTTGTGGGTTAAATATTGCCGAGGATAAGTTAGATACCTGTTTTTTCTGATTTCTGATTCTTTTTGTGTAGAAGCAATTTGTTACCCTGGAAAGAGCACTGATTGTAGAGTCAGCCCTAGCACTGGGTTTTGGCTCAGCCACTTCTTACTGGGTAACATCAGGCATATTTCTTTTGCTCTCTGAGCCTGTTTCGCTTTTGTTTACAAGGGACTAGCGCTTCACAAGGTGCTTCTGAGGAAGGTGAGGAAGCCCTTTTCACACCTGTGGAGTTCTGCAGGTGTGAGAAATCGCCAGGATGACTGCCTATTTGAAATCCCCTCTCCCCTCCCACCTGCCCGGATGTAGTCATGGCTGGGTGGCGGAGGCCAGAAGCAGCAGCCTTCAGCCAGAGGTAACAGCAGCTTAGACAGCTCTGTTGGCATCAGAGCCCTAAGGATGTGAGGGTTGGCGGTGAATCCCAACCCTCCAGCTATGTCTGACCCTGGGTGTTTGTGCCAGCAAGGTAGACAGAAAGGAACAGGAAGGCCTTCCAGCCAATAGCAAGAGCTGGTCCAGCAGGCAGAGAGGAAGCAGGAAAGCCCTCCAGTTTGCTCTTGCCTTAGAGCTGCTCAAAGGCATCACATCACTGTGCAGGCCAGGCGAAGGCTGGACAGCTGTGACATCCATGCTGGCCTGTGTTGCCTCCTGCAGGCCTGGGACCCGTCATGGGAAGATTTCAAAGCTCATACTGGAGGTACTGTGTAGCACCATCCATGCCCATCTGCCCTTGTCCATTTCACACAAGATAATCACTTCTTATTAACCAATAGATCCTGTTCAACATGTAAGGTGAATATTGATGCTTTCCCTGCTAAGTCGATACCAAATTCTGCAGGACTGGCCAAGGATGATGAAACTGCTCCCTGGGGAGGTGGGTGGTGAGTCATCTCCTGTGGGGTCGGGGTGGGGGGAGGCTTGCCAGGCTCCCCACTGGACTGAGGGAGCTCTGCTCCTCTGTAGCATGGTGCCTAAGAGGGTGATTAGATGCTGCCTTAAATCTCAGCCCCTCGCCTGAGAAGCTAATCTCTGTAGACAGTGATTTGCCAGAGCTTGGGCATGATGGAAGGGAAATAGAGTCACCAGTAGTGGAAGAGAGCAGAAAGCCCATTCACTTGTCTTTAGTTTCCTTCCAAAACAGAGACCACATCTTCCTGCCACTCAGGGCTCTCTCCTCAGGGCCTCTGCTCTGGGGTGAACCAACTCCCACTAGGGTAAGGTCCATCTCAGGTTCCCAGTTCCTGTTGGAACCCCCTCCCTAGGCCTCACAGACAAGCATGGCTGTCCTCTTTAGGGAGACCTTGTCCCCACCCTCCAGGTGGCTGGGGTAAGATTTGGCCTTAACCCTAAGGCCTCAGCAGGGGCACTGTATCCTTTGGCAAGAGGCCAGGATGACATTTTGTTTCAACCCTGCAAAGTGGGTTCCATGTTC